CTCTTTAAATTGCCCTTTATTTCTTTAAGGAATATTTTGTAATTGATTCTATTTGTGTCCTTTGGGAGGTCAATCCCCAGATATATTATGCATTTTGTAGTTATTTGGAATGGGATTTCCCTATTATTTCTTCTTGTGTTTATCATATAAAAATGCTGCTGATTTATTTTATAGCCTGTAACTTTGCTGAAGCGATTATCAGAATTAGTCGTATGTTTGCTAATTCCCTAGGTATTTTTTTGTTTTTTGGGGGTTTTTTGCCGGGGGGGGGGTGTAATGGGGAAAGGTCAGGGGGGTGGTAAACCATTGTATTGGCAGTAAACAGCAATAGTTTTATCTCATCTTTGTCTTTATTCCTTTAATTTTTTTCCTCTTATTATTGCTAACATTTCTAGAATGTTATCAAGTAATAGTGGAGAAAGTGGGCATCTTTGCTTCATTCCCATATTTATTGGAAGCTGTTCTAGTATATTCCCATTGTATATGATGATTGCTTTTGATTTTAGATAGATGCCTTTTATGACATTTTTAAAAAGGTTCCTCTATACCTATACCTTGGAGGGTTTTTAGCATGAAATAGTGTTGAATTTTATTAAAAGCCTTTTCTGCACTAAAAGGATCATGTAGTTTGGGATGTTTTGGGTTTTGATAAATTATGCTGATTGTTTTCCTAATGTTGAACCAGCTTTGAATCCCTGATATAACTCCCACTTGGTCATAATTACTGAGTTCTTGAGTAAATCTCTGTAGTCTCATAGGATTTTGTTTAAAATTTGAGTCAGTGTTCATTAATGATATTGGCCTGTAGTTCTCTTCTGTGTTGTATCTTTCGGTGGTTTAGGTATTGCGACAGTACTTGTAAAATTTTTTGAAAAGGACTATATTTGTCTCATAAAAGGTACTTTCTCAATTTTTGAGAATTTGTGAAGTATGGGTACTAACTATTCTTGGAAAGTTTGGTGAAATTCTTCTGTGAATCCATTAAGACCAGGAGTTGGTTTTTTTGTTTTGTTTTGTTTTTTCCTGGATAGTTTCTTTACAGCTAGATGTATTTCCTTTTCTGAGATTGGGTTATTTAAGATCTCTGTATGGTCTTCTCATAGTTTGGGCATTTTATATTTTTGGAAGTATGCCTCTATTTCTTTTGTGTTTTCAGTTTTGTTGGGGTGTGTGTGTATGTATATATCTACACATATATAGATATATATATATATACACATGAAATTGTGCATAATATGTTCTAATTATTTTCTTCTGGTTCTGCTGTGATTTCACCTTGAACATTTGCTATTTATTGATTTGATTTCTCTGTTTTCTTTTTTCAAATCAGATTAGCTAAGGTTTTATCCGTTTTATTAGTCTTTTCAAAGCACTAGCTTTTAGTTTTATTTATCATTTCTATGGCTTGTTTTGTTTCAAATTTATCTATTTCCCCCTCTGATTTTTAACAGCATCCCTTTTGTGCTTATAATACAAGCTTTCAGTGCCTTTTTAGGGAAGGGCTATTACCACCCTAGAGAAAGGGGGTAGGTGTTTTCTTTTTCCTACATAAACAAAGTTTTTAAAAAGTAATAAACTGGAGTGGAAAGGATGCTGGACTATGTCACAATGCCTAAATCAGCAGGGTTTTTTAGTCAGAGGTCCTGGATTTAAAAAAAAAAAAGGCTCTCCTTATCTGGGTGGTTTTAAGTCATTTTCTAAAATGGAATTTAGGTCCATTTTCTAAACTTGGTTATCTACTATTTGCAGAGCACATAAGTAGGTGCTTAATATTCATTTAGTGAATTGAGTACAGTTGGTGGCATCATTGAGTGAATTTATTGAATTGAGGAGTACTTTTGGTGGCATAAGTGAGTTACATCATGGATTAAATTAGAGCTACTGGGTAATAGTACTGCCTTTATGGGAATAGCAGGCCGAAATTCCAAACAATTCAATTCATTGCTAAGTTGAGGCCTACATGTAAAATGAGATTTTTTTTTTAAGTCACTTTTCCTGTTCTTTAAAAAAGCACTAGGGCTAGAGAAAATAAAAACTAAACACTCTATAGGCTTCATGGCTTAGGGGGTAGGGGGTTTTTGTTGTTGTTTTTGGTGGTGGTTAAATATTTAACAAGGAGAATACCTCTTGGAATGTCTGTCTCTTTGAAGCAGCAGCAGAAAATTAAGTACTTGTAAGACCTCTCCAGAGCATTGAAGTGTAAACCATGGAAAAACCCGAACAGGGAGAATCGGTAATACTGGTTCGAACTGAGTCACCCCCACCCCTGGCCCAGCCTAGGAACTGGCGATGTTTAGCTTGTGGTACTGGAGCATCCAGAACGTTGTTCTTTCCTGTTGGGGAGGGTGATGAGTCAGGCTTCCTCAGCCGGGGACGGGGCAGGAGGACAGAGCACAAAGCCTGGCCGTGCTTGATTATTTCCACGGTGAGCCTTGCTTACAAATGTGACCCAGGCATAGGTCTGGGAAGCAGGCCAGGGAGAGATGCCACCTGGCCATATTTGAGCAGCTAGGTAAATATCATCACCATGCTGAGTTCATCCTGAGAGGTGCTCTCGGGAGCATCTGCCTTTTCTTTTAGACCCTGGCACCTGGCAGGGCTGTGGAAGGGCTTCCTTTGGGGCTCTGGGGATGGGAGAGGATTCTGAGGGAAGCTGCACATTCATTGCAATTTGTATAACTCTGTTTAAATTTGGGGTTGCAGGGATGATACCATAAGAAAACTGAAAAATAGCATTCAAAGGCAAATGATTTTTTTTGTTTTTTTATCTGATTTGGGCCTCACTTCTCATGCTTAGAGGACATAGTTTCCAAATCTCAGCTTTGTCCTTTATTGCTTATATGATTTGGGGCAAGTCATTTCTTTTATTCGGGCTTCAAGTTTCTTCAGTTGTATAATGAGGGGGTCAAAGCCCTAACATTATTTTTTCATAGGATCTGACATAATGCATTATGTACAGTTGTTTCACAGTCTGCATACATACCATTGCGTAACATACTAAACTTGTTTGCCTTTAAATACCACTTATACATCCCCCCCAGTGTATAATTAAAGTTTAAAATTGCACAAGGACCTTATAAAGGTCCTGTAATTATTATCTATATTTGTAGCTGTATAATTATATGTGAGCAATAGCTCAAACCAGTCACCCGGAAGTAATGATTTTATGTCATAGTTGAGCAAAATTTGACTCCAGACAGCCCAGAAGAAGCTGAGCCCTTGCAAGTCATTAGGGAGGGAGGTGTCCTTTTAGTAGAAAAATATCCTTTTCAAGATTTATGGCTTCACTTTTTTTCTCCCCCTTTGATTCTGGTTTCAGCTCCATTATTATGAATTTGTGGGTGATGTAAGCCTCTGCTAATTCGGAATAATTCCACTGCAAATGATTTCACAATCCATTAGTGTAATCATTTACTTCTGGGTGACTGCCTGGCCCCAATTAAATGATTGTGGTCTTGCCCTCCACCGGCTTCTGTTGCCCCAAACTTGGTGAAGACAAGGTGGGAGGTGATTGAAACCAGTCACAATGCCAGCTGTTAACTGCTTGTTAAATAATGCATGTTGCTACTTCTGAGTGAAGCAGATAGGTTAGTGATAACTGCCAGCCTAAGGCATGGTTGTGTCCCCTATAGCTTGGTGATCTGTATCCTAGTAATGAAATTTATACCTATCCATGTGTATAAGGTATCCCAAAAGTCTTAGTGCAGCTGTAAGTGAATAAGGCTTCAAACTGCCCCAAGACTTTTGGACACTGTTTATGTATGTATGCATATAACTCAAACATTCTGAAAGCACTATATAAAGATAGAAGTGGTATTGTCTTCTGTAATCGTGTCACCATCAGGTTGGTAGAGGAAGTGACAATGACAGAGTCTTAGAGATTGGCTTCTGATTTTGGAACTGATATAGAGGGATGGCCCCCTTCCCTTTATGTAAAACTGATATGTGAAAATCTAACTTTGTAGGAAAGATAAACAAGATCAGATTACACAGAATTGCCAAAGGATTTGTTTTTAAAGTAGGCCCCCTTAATGTGTTTAAAGATTATTTCCGATTTATACAACTTGGGAAAGAACATGTTTTTAATATAAAGTAAGCTCCAGAAGGATAAGAAAGAGGGTGTCAAATACATGACCTTCAGTGATGGTGAGCAGGGGAACCAGATTAAAATATAAATGGGTAATAGTTAACAAAAGAAAAACAATGAAACACAAGTAACATCACATTTTAAAACTAAGTTAAATATGTGTGATCAGAAAGGGTCCTTGTGTACGGGCTAGTGGCCTCTGTTCCTATTCAAGTCGAACACCACTCCTGTGGTCCCGTAACCTTGGCAGGATGATTAAGAGAATCTGACCAGTTCAGCTCAGGCCCTCAGAAATGGGCCAGGTGAATCCATCTGGAATCGGTCATCAGTGGAAGATGGAAGTGACTGCATGCTTAGGTCACCTTGGTTCCCTTTTGAGCCCATTGCCAAGTTGGTCCCATTCTTCATAGTGTATGTGTGTGTGGGGGGGGGAGGCAGGAATGGGGAGAAAGACCTTGTGTGTTCCCTCTCCAGGCTCTTGCTTTGCCAGAGTCGGTGAGCCCGACTTTCTGTTTGATCAGTTATTTTCCTTGGTCCTCACGGTCACTAAACAACTGGAGGAGAAAGCATCTGCCATATGGCAGGCACTGGGCTAAGTGCTTTTTACAAATATGGTCTCATTCAATCCTCACAATAACTCTGGCTGGGAAGGTGCTGTTACTATCCTCATTTTACAGTTGAGGAAACTGCAGCAAAGGTTAAATGACTCACCCAGGATCATAGCTAATAGTGTCTGAGGGCAGATTTGAACTTGGGTCTTCCTCACTGCAGGCACAGTGATCTTTTTATTATGAGACCAGCTGCCTCTGCAAAACGATCTGAAAGCAGTTCAATGCAGAACACATTGGAGTTATTACTGATTCAAATTTGGTTAATTTTAGGAATCTGCTGCTGCCATTACAATTTTTTTTTCCCCCACGGAGCTTGTGAACTGATTCCTGGATCAGTCATTTGTAAAGAGTAAAAAAGAAGCATATGCAGACTTTTGAAACTTAAAAAAAAAGAGTTTACATTTTTCAGGGGGTCAGGCAGAGTTTCTGAATCCGTAACCATAGCAGCCATTTTAAAATCTCTTTTAGCTGGCCTGGTGCTGGATTCCTGCTGATTGCCTAATAGTATTCTGCTACTATGGTGTGATCCAGCAGAGCTGGAGGGACACAGGTTACAAGCAATAATGGGAAATCTGTAAAGCTCTGAGGTATAAATCTCTTCCCCCCACCCCAGCCTTTGAAGGGATGAACAGGAATTTCTGCTGATGGCCAGTGAAGGGCACCCTGGGCAACCGGTGGCTTTGGGTTTCGGAGTTGGCAGGGCCGCTTAGAGTTTCTCTTGGAGTGAAGCATTTTGTTGTGTGTCCAAGATCCCTGAAAGCCAGATACATGCCACCATCATCTTCCCAGGCAGCGGGTGGGGATGGGTTCTGTTAATGGATTGAGACCTGGGGCAATTTTAAGAAATAATTGTGGGATGATCGTGAGGATTATGGATAGTGTTAGTACTCGACTAAAGTCAGGAAACATGTATTACAATTCCAACCTCACCAAAATGTGGTAAAAGCTTTGGGACTTCACTCTGGGTCAGTTCTCTTATCTCTGAAAAGGCTTTTATATAACCTGCTCCTCCTACCTCATGGACAAGTCACTCTAAACTCTGCTTCAGTTGCTTCCTCTGTAAAAGGGGATAATGACACCTCTTTACCTCATAGGACTGTTGCAAGGTTCAAACGAAATAATGTGTCAAACTCTTTGCAAATTTTAAAATGCCATGCACATCTGGAATCTTGGAATTGTTCTGGAAAAGAAATTAAAGAGTATAACTTATCAGTCAAGCAAAGCACTTTCACAATCCTCATACACAATTAATCTCAGGGTGCCAGTTCAGAAGGAACTGTTCTAGTTGGAAGGAACCTTAGAGACCACCCTATTCAAAATGCTTGCTTTTTAGATGAACTTAGGGCCACGAGGTTAGGGCTTGCCCAAGGAAACAGAGCTTGTCGACTAGTGTGAGGTGGTGTTGATTAAAAGGACTAAACACCTCTTGGGGGGAGGGGAGGATGGACCATCTCCACCACTTTGCCTCAGCTGCTCTCCGATCCAGGTTCAGGTGGATCTACTCCTGGCCCCAGCCATAGCAGCCAAAGGGATACATCTTTGGCATCATTTTCTCACTGGTTATTCTACGTGGAAAATTATGAATGTCACAGCTGAATCTGGCGGAAACTTGCCTGGAACTTGAGAACTCGTTTCAGACTTCAAACCTGCCGTTGAGAACATTTCAGCTCAGAAGCCAGGGTTGGAGGTCGCTGCTCAGAAAACTGGTGCCCTGCAGGGGAAGCGTAGTTCAGTCTTCGGCCCGGTGTTGTCAGAGTTTCCTGCCTGCCCTGTCGTGGGTGAGCTTTTCCTTAGGGAGCATGTCCGGGATCATGTCTGCACTTCTCTCCGCTTTCACAACTAACCATGGGCACTGGTCTCGTACCTGCCGCAGACCCGCTTGGCTCACGTTGCGACAGAAATCAACGTGCAGGGTCCTCAGTGAGTGCCCGTGAGCGGTCACGGCAGCCAGTGTTCGGTTGGTGATCCGAACACAGTTTTCCAGTTTGAGGGTCTGGAGGTTGGGGCAACTCCGGAGTAGTGACGCAATGCATTCATCGGTGACGTGGCCACAGCCAGAGAGTGTCAAGGACAGGAGGTTGGGGCACCTGAAAGACACGGTGCAAGCATAGCAAGGGAAGAGTGAAAACAAGCCACATTAGACTCCCTTCTGCAGGTCAGTTCGCAGGATGGCTTTCCAGACTGGGAGTGTTCATCTGTGCCGTAAGGTGGAGGATGTTCCCCTCCAGCCTGCGAAGCAGTCATTCAAGCAGCTGGCAGGGTCCTAGCCCGCCCTCGCAGAGATTTTCTTGCATTTGTTGGTTGGCTTCTGATAGCCAAGAAAAATTATTTATGTTGCTTCAAAAACTATTCCTTCTGAACAATGGGAAGTAATTTCTCCCTTAATAAAATGAGATTTATCAATCACCTGCACTCGAAATGTCCCTGGACCAGTAGGATCAGGGTTGTAAAAAGAAAGTTATTCATCCTCACCCTATATAGGGTCCTTCTCTGTCCCCTCAAATCTGAAAAAAATCAGATTGCTTAAGGGAGAGGGGAGTGTCGCTGCCCAGCTTGGCTGACCAGGTTTATGGGGCTGTGTTGAAGGCACTTCCTTGCAGAGAGCTCCTCCACCTGCATGCATCCTGATCTGTTTACCATTTGTAGATAGAATGGATTAAGCTTTGTTCTTTCATCCTAAAAAAATGCTGCAAACTGCAGACGCACCCCCTGCCTCAATCCGAAACATTTCCTTCCTTTAAATAGGTAGTTTGTCTAGTTGTGAATGCATCCCTAAACATTTTCAAACGGCAGTGCTCTCATACATGCCCATCAGTGTCCTAACCGGCTGAAGTTACTGACTACAGATGAGTTCAGGACTCCCTCTGCTTCTTTCCCTTTCTAGACTGATTTAATGTTTTCAAGAAGAAAGGCCTGGGAGCTGACATTTTTTCGTCCTGTAATTTAGCTAGGAAAAACAGTAAACCTGAAGTAGATAACAATAATAAGCCCAGTTGGATTTTTCCATTGCAATTAGCAGCCGGGTTAAGTTAAAAAAAAATTTCAAAAGTTTTGTTTTGCTTTTGGGTGGTGGGAAATGGGCAATAGAGAAACTCCTGATTGCTTTAGTGAAAAATGCTTAATTTGATACATCTATAGGTTCTTGGAGGCTTGAATTCCAACAAGGGCATTACCATCTTAGAGAAACTTCATTAACTTACGACCCCTTTAGCATCAAGATCAGTAAAGATGATAGACATTGAACTCTTCCTTCCTAGGTTCTGTATTTTTCATGTTCTCTACAGACCAGACTCTGAGGGGAGAGTTAGCTGGCTATATACTATGTTTGTCAAACTTATTCTCCATATGGGAAATGGAACATGTCCCGGGGTTATTTTAAGGCACTTTCTTTCATGCTAGTTCTCTCATCTGCTTCTTTGGATGCCAGACTGGGCAAACTTGATCGACAGTGACATATGAAGGTCATAGTTCTCTCTGGAACATAAACAAGTCCAGTGCGTAACAAAAAGGCCTGCCCATCTTTATAAGCAGTTGATTTCTCAATCTTATTTCTCATCTTATCCACAAAGCTATTGTTCCCTATTACTGTGAGTTACTCATATTGCCTCTGCCCCTGTATTCTGATTTCTCCCCTGAAATACTGAAATCTTGGCCTTGTTACTTTTTTTACCAAAGGAAACCCTGGATTTCCTTTTAGTCTCCTTTCTTAGAAAGTGAAAGTCTGATACTTCTTAGTATGGAAAAACATAAGTTCACAATTTATGACAGCTGTGACCCAAGCCTGCCCTGCATGGCTGAGATTGTTCTCTGGGCTGTTGAGGCCTACTCCGTGATAGGACAGATGCTCTTCCTGTAGAATTGAATGGAGACTGCAATGCAAGATGATTTTTCATTCATTTTAAACAAAACAAAACAAAAAACACTTCAGCCAATCTCTCTAGGTCAATTTGGAGCTTCCCTATGGTGGTGATGGTGGCCCTCAGGGCCTAAAGAGAACTCGAGATTCTGCAACCTCTTAGCATATTTGTTGCCGAAGATTTAAGATCAGAGTTACTAACAAACAGCTGTCGATCAACCACACTCCACCTACCTGTTGCAAACTTTCACTAAAAAGTCACTGGCGAGGTGCTCGTGAGTGCTGCAAACACCCTTCTGCAAGGCATTTTTCATCCAGTCTTCAACGTTGCATACCTTTACTTGGCTCGAATGCCAGCAAATGGACAAGCATCTTAAAGCAGGGCTCAAGAGGAAGTTATCTTTTTTCAGTTCCATGAGAGAATTAAAATGCAGCAGCGGCCAGAGCAAAGGATCGAGAAACACATCCCACAAGTGAGAGCAAGTCTTTGCTAAATTCTTCCTGCTGTCCTTGTCCAGGAAGGAAAATACATGTAAAAGACATTCCCGGTTGAGCTGAGTTATATGCATGGCAGGAACAAGAGCACTTTGTTAGGGAAGAGAAGCAACAGTGGAGCTGTGTGTGCCTGCTGTGCTGAGACGAGCCTGGGGGGCCTGACCTGCCTCCTTCTGGGGCCAGGGCTGGTGGACATATATGGCTGAGGAATGGGGTTTATTTTTGGCCAACAACTGGTGTTGAAGGTTTTGTGTGTGTGTGTGTGTGTGTGTGTGTGCGCGTGTGTGTGTAAAAGAAAAAGGAAAATCCAGACGTACATCAGACAACCTGTGAAGGCAGTTTGCATTCAAAAAGCCTACCAGATCTGCCAAATAAAGTTAAAATAACTTTTTTTTTCCTTAAAAGGGATTTATTTCCCTTTTAACCAACCATCATGTAACAAAGGGATAGCTTTTTGGGCTCTAGTAAGAAACTTTCAAAAGATGTGGCTCCCCATATACGCTCTGACAAGCTCTAAAGTAGACAGGGTTGTGTTTGTAAATATTAAGGATGATTGGAGGTTGGGAATATTGGGTAGTGCTTAAATATGGAATTTCATTCACATCCTTAAAAGGAAAAGGCTTGTCCTATGCACAGAGCAGAGTAGGTTGCTATTTTTAGAACTATATTGCTCCAGTCTATTAAAAGAACCAGTGGTTGGTTCCTTCCCTTCTATCTTGCTTTTACAAAGAGATTGATAGGTTCCAGGTCAATTCCAGACTGCTCCTATTACACGGCAGCAAGGTAAACAGGTTATCTTTGGTTTTTAGGAGGTTTATTTTTAGCCCAAAATAGTTTATAGAAAAGTGACTTGTCTCTTAAATTTGAGGGCATGGGATACATGTTTCTAAGGTTACTCTGAAGACATAACACTGTATTAGCTTAGGAATATTGCATTTTTTCTAGTTTTTATAGTCGGTGTGTGGCCTGGTATACTATAATTTCCCAAGTGCCACATCCCATATAGTGGGGGGGGGGGGGGTTTGGCACACATTTGTTCAATGAACGAATGCTGAAGTTAACCTTAATCATTTCACTCTATTTGACTTGAACAAGTCAAACACTAGATTTGAGGACAGTGACTATATTCAAGTCTTATGTTAGAGGCTCATTGGGTGTCATAGGTAAGTCATTCACTTCCCTAACCCCAAGTTCTCCTCTCTGTAAAATTAGGAGCATGCATCTTGAAGTATTACATCAAGACCCACTGAACCATTTCAATGCATGGTCCAGTTCAAGGGGAAAAGGACTTGCGTAAAGAAAGGTTTTAATGAAGCCCCCTGGGAGATTCCCTATTTTGTCAGCTTGGCTCAGTGATCTTCCCTAAGCCCTCAGGAACATGTTCCACAGCAAGGAGTTAATGATGGGCTATTAAGTTTCAGATAAACAGAATTTTTCTTATCAGTCTATTCAGTCTCTATCTAATTGGACCCTTTCCCCTTGGAAAGTAGGCTATGCAGCCACCTGCTTGAAGGAGTAGTAATCCTCATTCGAAAGCTGGCCCTGCCAGTTCCAATCCCTAAGGCTGAGGATTTACTACTCACTGAGAAGAGGTGCTGCTGGGGGTTTCTTCCAAGAACTCAAGTCAGAGTTGACTCTTTCCTTCCTCATGCCTGGCAGCACTCTAGTCAGTTGAGGTTTCTTTGGCCCCTACTCCATCATCTCCAGACACCGAAACATAAGGATGATGTTCGAGCCTCTCTCTCCTTTGTGACTGTAAATTACAGTAAGGGAGGGAAAATACCGTTATTTTAACACTGACTACATGTCAGGCACTGTAGTAAGTGCTTTAAAATATTGAATCCTCACAACACTGGGAGGCAGGTGATGTTATTACCCCCATTTTACAGTTGAGGAAAGTGAGGCAAGCAGAGGGTCACATAGCTACTAAGTCTCTAAGGCTGGATGTGAACCTCGGTCTTCCTGATCCAAGGTCAGTAGACATTATAGTCCAGGTGAAGCTATAAGTTTATCTAGACACACATGTCCAAACTACAGAGAGGGAATAATCATAAATAGCTAAGAGAATAGCGTTTAAATGTCAAATTTCATTTGTCTCCTCACAAGGAGACGTGGCTTCTCCTCTAGAAGTAACTAGACATGTCTGCATTCAAGTCCAGGGAGAACCATGGTACCAAAACTATCCCCAGCCCAGTTCATTTGAATGCTGTTACCTGCAGAGCAAAAGGAGTGTCACCTATCTCGGAAGCCCCTTTCTGCTAACTTTTCTCTTTCTCTAGTCACTTGATGAATAACTTACTATATGTCCCCAACCACCCAGCATCTCATACCCTATTCTAGACCCTTCAGTGAACCCCTGTGCTTGGCTCTTCCACAATAAAGGCTTAGGATTCAATGTAAAGTGACTGAAAGGGGTCAGAAAGAGAAGCAGAACTATTGAAGTATTTCTCTGTGATGGCAAAGAGCAAGGCAGGAAGACAGTGAGTTAATTTTTACATCTCCAAAGATGAAGGCAATTTTGCTTCAAAGGATCAGCGATGGTTCCTCCAATACCTGGAGGGCAGACATAAACTGGTCTCTGAGTGCAGAGGGCTAATATCTACCATGTTCATAGCTTTAGAAAAGAAAAATTTTAAATTTGCCTAGTAAATAACCTCACAGCTGGGATGCTAACTGCTCAATCAATGCAAGGTTTGAATGTATCTTAACAGGTAGCTACCACCATAGTACACAGAGCACTGGGCCTGGAGTTAGCCCAAGTTCAAATCCAGTCTCAGATACTTACTGTGTGAACCTTGGGCAAGTCACTGAAATTGTCTGCCCTGGTTTTGTCGCTTGCAAAATGGGGAATAATAATAGCACCTACTTCCTAGAGTAGATCCTTGTAACGCACCAAGTAAATGCTCACTTCTATTACAGTGCCTGTCTTCTCCCTCCATATTGGCTGCTTTACCCCAGCAGAGGTGTCACTTCATAAGTGGCCAGCATCTGCATCACCAGCCGATACGGAAGGCATTCAAATAGCTGTAGGACCCAGAGTATTTATGAGCAAAATATCATAGCTGGTTCCACTAAAGGGTGTTAAAAATTATTAATAGTCAAAGAAAAGAGACCAGATCTTTAATGATACTTTTCCATAAAACATCTCAAGTTGGCAAAGAAGAAAAAGAATCAAAGTACAACTTAAAAGGAAGGATTATTCACGCAGTGAAATGATTTTTTTTTCTGCATTACACAAGCTAGATTTTAATGGCAAACAATGACACCCACAGCACCACACGATTTGAGGGCCTTCTAGCTAGCATATGTCAGCAGCAGAGCTGACAAGACGAGCATATTTAGCCCACTTGGTGAGATACAGAGACAATGGAATGAAGCACGGCCATAGCACAGAAGTCTTCTCCTTCCTGTGTTCTGTGTGGATACTTTGACTGGCAGCAGACTGCAGGGACACACCCTGCCCTGGGGATGCTCCAGGTTGGATACCTTCAAAGGGGTCTCCCTGGTAGGGAAGAGAATCAACAGGCTGACTAGAGAGGCTCCATCCTTCCTGGGCAGCTGCACATGTGACATTAACCATCTGAGTGGTGAAAAGAAGGGGTGCTGTGGAGAACCCAGTCCCAAGTGACCCTTATGTAGCTCAGGGGAGGGAGGAAGGACAAGGAACATGGAGAAGGGAGATATGTACATTAGAACAATGAGACCAAAAAGACACATAGGTTTCAAGAAATAAATATGCCCCAATGCCAGGCCCAGAAACCACGCTGACTGAATTGAGTTTCACAGGCAACTTACATTTTTAACACTCAAAGCGGGACAGTATACTTTACTGGTTCAATTGTCAGTTACATTTGTCATCACTACACACTGAGTAGAATACAGTGGATAAGCAAAGTTTTCTCCATCATGGAGAGATATCTGTGTTGCCACAAACAGATTGTTTGTATCATACATCTGTGTTTGCAGTGGGAGGATGTTAAAGTTTTCTTCTCCAAAGGAGGCATGTACCTTGATGCATCAGGCCCTGCTGGCGTTTCGCTCGAGGCCACATGTACATAAAGGAGACAACATGGCACCAAAAGAGAAAAAAAAAGCCCAGAAGGAGAACAGGAAACAAATCAGCCTTTAAAATGATTGTGACAAAGATTACACAGTTAAATTTCTAAAATACAAAAGAGGCACATTTACATCACTGGTATGTTCAACGATGCAGCTTGGCTTGCTGTTTGCTTAGCCCAAATGGTTTCGATTGCCCTTTCCAAAAAGTCTTCATGATCACATTCCAGAATGTGTCAGCAGATACTAGGCAACAAAAGCCTCACGACAGTAATTCAGGCAGGAGCCAGGTCCCAGTGTCCCCAGCATTTCTTCTCCTCAACACTTTCATACACCTGGCCACAAAATCGTGTGTGATTTACAGCTATTTTCCTCCATCAGAAGGAAGGCTGCCAAAGCCATTAGGTAAGTTTAATGATTAAAAACAACTCATTTTTATAAAGAACGACAATCTAGGTGCAAACAGCAGACAAGCACACCAAGAATGCGAATATCTGAGTCAAAGTAACAGATGACTTTATTCACTGTCCCATTTGTTAAGCACAATAAAGTCACTCTGTTTTTTTGTCTCTCAGAAGGGTCTTGAAGGGGAATCAAATGTCAGGCTCGGCCAAGTGTACTTTCATATATATATATATATATATATATGCACAACTATGCAACAGGGTTGAGAGTTGTATTTCTACACAAACCCACATTTTCCTTTTTTTCCCCTTCTAAACAGCCCCTAAGATTTAGGGAGGTTGGCAATGCAGTCTCCTTAGGAATAACATTTTACATATTTGATTATTGTTTGTTGCTTTTCATTTTCAAGTGTTTATCTTGCTAATGTGTTAAGCTGTGACAAAACTTGTTAATACTGAAATGGAAATGATGTCCCAATAGCTGTTCCTGGCAGTTTCAAATATATGACTGGGAAAAAGTCATCGAATAGTGACATCTTTACAGAGAGACCTCTACAACATCTCAACCATTCCTTTTTACTTCTCAGACATCATTCCTAAGAAGTCTGCTTGATTGGGTGGCAGGCTAGCTTGGCAGGAATTATGTTCAGTCCTTCATTACAACTTTTAGAAAAGAAAAAAAGAAGGGGGAAAAAAACACTAGAACAAGGGATGGAAAAAAAATCAGCATGATGTTAACATATGAATTCCATTTTCAAATTCGATATTCTCCATGTACTCAAGCAGCCTCCTCTCTTCCAGTCTCTGAATTATCCAGCAATACAAATAATGCCCTTAGACTGCAGGGGACACCTACAGAACTGCCACAGTCGTGACTGGAATCTGAGTCTAAAATTCAACCTAAGAATTAGATCGAAGGGCTTCCATTTTCTCTTTTGTCCCCTAGAAAACAATTTTAAACAAGAGCTGTTGACCTTAGAAGCAGCCTTTCTCCTATACAATCCAATAAATAAGCACATTTTCAGTTTGACCACAAAGGTCTTGATACAATGTCAGTGAGAGCTATTAAAGTTCTGAGTTCTAAAAATCAAAATACCCACTTCCACACCTCAGTGAGATCCAAAGCCTCAGAAGCTCGGCTTTGATAACCAACATCTCACCCGAGCTGGCTATATGTATAAGCACAGATACTGGAAAATAGGACTGACTACGAGTCCTGTTCCTGGAGGGATCAGAGTACTGCTCTAGAAGGCAAAGGTCTAGCTAGCTCTTTCTCGAAAGGACAATTCACTTACAAGGTAAATGAACTTAGTTTCTAATGCCTCCCCTCCCTCCCTACCCCTAAATAATTTGAATCTGTAGGCCTGATTCTAAATCAGCAATTATTTAAGGTTAATGCTAAAATACAGCAGCTTTCATATTCGCTGATAGCAGCGTTATCTTTGTTCATGATGCAACCGCCTTCTCTTCTATAGGCAAAGAATGACTGTTCAGGTCACTGGCAGATTTCATGGGACAGAATAACATATGCAAGCACAACCCTTGATTTGCAGGATCAACCTGATCTGCATTACAGCTGTGAAAATGCAGCAAGAATTTCCACTGCTCTCCAAAAAATAATGAGCACATTTATCTTGCCTGCTGCATGTGATGATAATAAAAATGCCTGATGTAAATGTGCCTTACAAAAGTGAGAACTGAAAACCGTAATATGAAAAGTCAAATATAACTAAAATTCATGAAACTATATGTATATATATAAACACACACACACATATATATATATATAGTTACCACAACTAAAGCAGCAAATCAAAATGTCTGCTGGGGTTTTCTGGAAAAACTAAAAAAACAAAGTTGGTTTGTGTCCAAGTTGAATGCTACCATTGACACAACAAAATGAAACCCACGATAGGAAGCTGAAAAGTGCACAATGAAATTAATAGTCTTGGATCAAGTATTTGTGGAAAATTGGAAATGTTTTGTCTGGTGGACTTGGTGAAGGGTGCTGAAGGTGGATCAGAGCTTCTCCGAGCCAGAGCGGGCCTGGCGCTCCACGTAGAAGAGGATGTAGGCCTTGGCCTTCACCACGGTCTCCTCATCGGTCAGGGTTACGGTGCTGTCATTGAAATGGAACCAGCGACCTTCATGAGTTGCATAAGCTGTGTAATGTCCAGAACCAACACTGTAAGCAAGAGAAAGGAGGAGGATTAACAAAAGTACACAACAACGAAAGCCAGTCCAATTCCCATTTTATAGATGAAGACAGGCACTTCAATTTGGTAAATACCTTTTTTTTTTTTTAGGCAATTGGAGTTAAGTGACTTGCCCAGGGTCACACAGCTAGTAAGTGTCAAGTGTTTAGTCTGAGGCCGGATTTGAACTCAGGTCCTCCTGACTTCAGGGCCGGTGCTGTATCCACTACACCACCTAGCTGCTCCCAATTTGGTAAATACTTTCAAGTGACCACTACATGGCAGGTGCTATGCATACAATAAAAACAAAATAGCTCCTGCCCTCATGAAGCTTATTCTCTAAGAGGAAACAAGTATGCAGATTAGACAACCCAAGGCACGGGATGCAAAAGCTATTTTCTAGAGGGAGGCATTGGGAGACCCAGGAAGAGGTGGCACCTCCTCTGTGCTTTCAAGGAAGCTAGGGATTATCAGGTGGCAGTGAATGAGAAAAGCATCCCTAACACCCCGGGAGGGGAGAGAGAGCCTGTGCCAGCACAAAGAAGGACTATGCTATTATGTAGGGGGAAGCTGGCCAGTCTGACTGGAATGTGGAGTGTGTGAGGGGAATAATGTGCAATCAGTGTGAAAAGACAGATTGGAATCAGATTTTGAAAGGCTGTAAATGTCACAGGAGTTTGCATTTTACCCTACAGGCAACAGGGAGTCAGCTTGTAGCTGTGCAGAAGCTAGATTGGGGGGTAGAGACTTGAGGCATGAAGACCATTAGGGGGACTTTGCAGCTGTCGTGCGGGGGGAGAGTGGAGGGACAGAGAGGAGATGATGGAGACTAGAATCTCCAGGGCTGTGCCTGGGGAAGAGCTGAGAAGGGCTACAAGGCTGTGAACCTGGATGAGCAGAAGGTGCTGCTTTCAGTAGAAATGGAGAAGTGAGGAAAAGAAGTGGACTGTGAGGAGGAGATAATGACTTTAGACGTGGTAAAGTAGACGAGGCCTATGGAATATTCGGCATGGGAGCTGTCCAAGGCTGTCCTTTATCATCATGGGACCAGCCCATCCCTTTTTACTCATACATTTCTTTAATGACATACTCAATACTGTTTCCTATTCTAATTGCTCGTTTATAATGTGCACATAAACATGACTTCACTTTTCCAGCGTCCTTTGGGTGATTCTCAATTTCAACTCAGATATTATAGTTTCCCAGAATTAGCAGCCATACATCACCAGGGGAATAATGTTACAGAAAAGATGGGCCTTTTGTTTCAGGGAGAAGCCTGAGACCATTAAATTTAGCAATTTCCTGAAAGCAATCCAGCCTATTTCCCTTTTCATGTTCAGTTCTGGGACCAACTCACTGTATATGTTATTTGTCCAAATTTTATACACAAACGATATGTTTATACAAACACACACACGCATATGTGTACGCATTTATAACTGCATCTCATCGTCTGGAACAGTTGTTCTCCATTCTAAGGGGAGAGATAGGTCAAATGCTTTAGGGTGATTTTAGATCTCATCTGTCAAGTTCTGCACTGGTGCACTGTGGGATGTGACCAGCATCACGTTGCCTCAAGAGGAGCACCTGGGAGTCCTCGCCATCTACAGAGGATTCTTTCTCAACCTGGATTTGGTAGTGCATTGCCTCCATGATAATGGTGAACTTGCTTAGCCAGCATATGCTTCCTTATTTATTTCTCACTGGATATATTAAAATTGAGACACTAATAATCAGAGGGTCAAACAAATCTATCACTGTTGTGTATTTCAAGGAATCTTACATTTGAATGGTTTCACATGAAACACTTTGTTGTGAGAGCATTTAAAGCAGCATGATGCTGTAATTACTCAATTTTTTTTTTATGGTGAATAAACAGTAAGCACAATAGGAATTCCTGTAGTCACTACTTCTTTCAGTCAGTTATGTTATGGTAGACGTATGGTATAGCATTTTGATCACTAGCAAAAGCCTGCCTGTTCCTATTCAGTAATCTCATCAAGGATGCACCTGCTGTGTGTATAGAGTCTCATAAATAATTTTATATAGAGTTGGTTTATGGGTTTGTACTTATTTTTTATCTCTTAGTAACTTTTTTCATTATAAGGTCTAAGATTTTTTTCCACACCTTTGGTTTCATTCTCTCCTTTAGATACCTTAGGAATTGTATCATACCCTCAAAGTCTTCCTAATTGTGTCCCCTCTGGCATGGACCTCTTCTGGGTAGACTTGGTCTAGCCCAACTGCTTTTTCCATCTTTATTTTCTTTAGTGCCATTTTCATTTCCTTTGTAAGCGTAACTGGGGCTGGGATGTTAGAATCTAAATATGGTGATTCTACTGTTCTTGAGTTCCTTATTGAAATCGTGGCACTTCTTTTCCACCTTTTGCCTGTTTTTCTCCTTCCACTTTCATCTTTCAATTCCCTTGGGACAACTGCGCTGAGTTGTACCTCTCACTATGCTTTCTTTACACTAGCTTCCCCCTCTACTGCTTCTATCTTATGAAATGTTACTATTTGTACCATCTTTCTTCATAAGATTTTGTAAACAAATTTATAAATTAAACTAGTTTTGTCCTTGGATGCCACGCCTTTCTGCTTGGCCAAGAAATTCAGTGTTTACTCACAAAGGCACTTTTTAGGCTCCTCTGGTCTCTCAAATGATTTATATTTGTTAAATTTCTTTATAAAATGGTCATCTCGGTCAATATTCTTTCTTCTAACCACTTTTTAGCACCAATCTTATAACCTGTTCAAACGGGTCATGTTTCGACTATTTTAATTGCATGCCATAGCTTCTCTCCCCTCTGATTTTTATTTCTTCTTCCAAATATTTTCATCTTTGACTATAAACATCTTATGGGGCAGCTAGGTGGCGCCATAGTGCATAGAGTGCCAAGTTTGGAGTCAGGAAGACTCATCTTGAGTTCCAATTTGGCCTCAGACACCTACTAGCTGTGTAACCCTGGGCAAATTACTTAATCCAGTTTGCCTCAGTTTTCTCATCTGTCAAGATGACCAAGAAAACCACACATGGGATCATGAAGAGTCAGACATGACTAAAAAAACAACTCAATGACACACAGATTCAGGAAGACCCTCGAGTCAGTTATAATTTCTTATCTATTCAAAGACAGGTTTCATTTTTTTTTTATGTTATTTGCTGCTCCCCAGGTCTAGCACCTTCATAACGTACAGGTTGTCACAGAAGTTTCAGTAAAAAGTTTTATTTGCTTAAAGCACTTCTGGGAGGACCTTCATGCACATAAGGCAGATGCTGTCTTTGGCCTTTCTTGTTCCTTACTTCTGGACCTAAAGTAGGGGGCAGTATTGTTCAGGGGAAAGAGCACTGCACTGGGCATCTGAAGGTAATACGCTACAGCAGGCATACTGTTAACCCTCCCCCCAAAAAGAGAACAAAAAAAAAAAGCTTATATGTGAAACCAGCAATCTCTCATGTATAGCTTTTTGAAAAGTATATAAAAAATGCAACATTACCCTTAAAGCTGTCTGCTAGTCTGTGTTTTTATGACCTTCCTTCTGTACTCTTACGCTTTTTGAAGTTTCAATGATCTTTTTTTTTTTTTTGGCATCACTACCCCAAACTCTTCTTACCTTCACATATCCTCCCCAAACGAAACAACAACAACAAAACCCTAAAGGACTTGTGAGCCATCCTTCCATTTAGCTACAATTACCTTCTGTCTTGACTTCCTTTATAACAAGAATACCATGATTATCACAATTTGATTCCTCCAGTAATTTCTCCATTTGATGGTCACTGGACAAAGCTATCAGACTGTTTAGAGATGATTTTAAAAGTACGTGATTCTCAGTATTGTCAGTTTTCTGTTACTGCAGAAGTGGAAGGTTCTGCATAGGACTGAGGGTTGTTTTAAAGGACGTTTGTTAGTTTCATACATTGCTACGGACAAAGAATTCATCATAAGTGGCCAGCAAGCTGGTGATGAGCTACTAAGTCCTTAGCTTTTCTGAAAGCAAACACAGTCTAAGGAGAGTATTTTTTTTTATTTTATTTTTTTTGCTTTTAGGCAATTGGGGTTAAGTGACTTGCCCAGGGTCACACAGCTAATAAGTGTCAAGTGTTTGGTCTGAGGTCGGATTTGAACTCGGGTCCTCCTGACTTCAGGGCCGGTGCTCTATCCACTGCGCCACCTAGCTGCCTCTAAGAGTATTTTTTTTTAAATCTAAACCAAAACAGAGATGGAAAGGCATTTCAGAAAAGTGGAGCTATTAGAGAGGCCCTCTTCTATTACAAATAAATTTTAAGTGGAAAACTATAAAAGTTAAGGGTGAAGTAAACTATATTTTGATGGAACAAAGAATAACACAAGCTACAAAACCAAACCTGTTCTGAACACAGATGCTATAAAATTCTGGGCCTATTTTTCACTTCTCTTTACAGAACATTGCAAATTCTAGCATCCTTTCACTTCGAGCTTGCAAAGCGGAAAATTATAATACTGTCTACTTTATGCAAAAATTGATGACTCAATCAATAAGCTTTTTATTTAGCATCTACTATGTGCCAGGTACTGTGTTAGGCCCTCTGGATACAAAGACACAAGATGCTTACAGACCCTTAGGGGAAGCAACATGTACCACCAGATCAGTAAGAGGTAGTTGAAGAAGGCAAGGTAATCAGATGCAAAGGTAGCGTCAGAAAAGGCTTCGTGTAAAAATAAGTTTAGATCCCATCAAGCAGAACGGAAACATCGGCGTTCTAGTGACACTCTGAGCTCTGCGTGCACCTCCAATACTCACCCGGAACCGTGATGCACAACGACGGCGGCAAGGTCATAAAGGCAGCTCTCAGGGCCGCTGTTCTCGGGCTTTAAAACAAAGGAGAGAAAACACATCCTTAGGACTCAGCTGCCACCAGCAATCAAACTGCCGTGAGAGCTCCCTCCAGCAACCTCGCCCTGACCTTACAGCGAGATCACTGGAGTAAAAAAAAATACTCAGTGTTATTTTGATATAGGTCTTTCTGAAGCTAAGTCCCCTTACCTCTAACAAGTAGCACTTCATATCTAGGCCTCTCAGAGGAAACTCTACATAGGTGTCGACCTTGTTTCTTAGGTAAGCTGTCCAATGAAATCTTTTCAAGTGTAAGCAGAGCACCTGAATGACAAAATGGGAAAAAGTGACATACTTGTTCATAGACATTTCGTTCACCTTTCACGACAAATCCACCGTCTGGTGCTGATACTGTAAGAGAAGAGCTTTCTCTAAGACTCCCGTCAGCTTCTTTCTGCCAGTTGTTAGCATTCCCTGCACATGCTGTGGGGTATACAGCTTTGACTGAAAATTCTAAAGGCCAATTCTAAACATCTTCCAAAGCTGAGCTTATATTAAAAGCAAGATATTTTAAAATTAACTGTGGGCTGACAGTCTGAGTGATCTCCTCTGTGAAATTTCATGGAACACAGGCCTTTACCTTTGGTAATTTCTGAATCCAAAATTTTTTGGTGGATTTCTGCTTCTTTCTGCATTTGTGGCACATATACAGTTCTGTCTCGTCAAGTTCTTCCAAGTCTGTAAAACTACGAAGACAATCTAAAAATTGATTTAAAAAATGTTAAAACACGGTGCTTTTCACAAAGATCACATCTGGATATTTCTAAGAACAATCAGTCATGCCTTGGGCCTAAACTCCCCTTTATTTTTATGGAAAGTTCCAAGTTTAATTCCATTAATAACCTATACTGCTAAAGGAGATATCTATCACCCCCATTTTACTTTATTAGAGGAGGAAGGTGTTGAGAGGTCCAATGTCTGTCTTCAGGCAGTGGTAACAAATTCAAACCGGGGGCCACATATTGACTTTGAAAACCTTAACTTAACATCATTTATGTTAAGCATTTCCCAATTACATCTTAATCTGGTGTGGGCCAGACTGAGGATTTCTGTGGGTTGATGAGTTTGACGCCACTGCTTTAAGTTCACAGATTGTCCAAGTAGCACAGAGAGGTCTGTCAAGCTGATCCTGACGACTTTTTTAAAATGTGTATCTTATTTTTATTGATCCCTTTTGATTTTCAAATCACCTTTGTTTCTTTTTCATCTTTGATTTTATTTTTCAACTGACAAGCACTTTTCCTCTTCCTCCCAACCGCTGTCTCACCAATTTGAATGAAAAACAAAAAAAAGCACAATAAAAATATGTGTACTCGAGCACAACAAATCCCCACATTGTCCATGTCTAAAACTGTATGTCTTATTCTGCATCCTGAATCCATCACCACTCTGTCAGGAGGTGGATAGCATAGATTATCATCAGTCCTCTGGAAATACTGATCTTTGGATATTGCTGATAAATTACACACAAGATCTATTGTCCTTGCTTAGGAGATTTCCTTACAGAAATCATTAAATAGGCAAATTCAAATTTCCCAAAGCACTATTTAATCTCTCCAAAATTATAAACAAAGAATCTTAATTTCAAAAGCCCACCTTTCCAATTCCACTCTACTACTACCCTACAAGAGACCCTTTACTCCAGCCAGACTAGCTTACTCAGTCCCTCAAATATGTCATATTTAAACTATTTTCCCTATTCAAATATCATTCACCTGCCTATTTCTGCCTGGTTCTTGCCCACCCAGCTAGGTAAGGCCCAGTTCAATTCCCAACTTCTTCATAGAGACTTCCAAGACCACTCAAAACAATAATGATTTTCCTCCTTACAAATATAATTATTGCCTGTGCCATTCATATACTAGTTTTATACCACTTCATGGTATCTACTTGTATCATTAATCTCAAGCCATTTCACTTTGGGGGGGTGTATGACTTGTCTCTCCAATTAATTTGATAATCTACATGGCAAGTAAAAATTCTGTGTTATTTCTTTGTATCCTTAGCTGGCACCACACTAAGTACTACTGAACACACAGTAGGTGCTAAATAAATTTTTAATGTTCTTGAACAGCTATTTTCCTCATTAGGGACAGCTTCAGAAATGCTAATTATCCCTAAAGTCCTTTTCCATCTTCATAGTTCCAAGACACAGGGATGTCGGAATGTCATTTCGGGCCCCTTCAGAACGAAGGACAACTACCACTGATGGCTTTGATGATTCCCTCAACAAAGCACGCCAGCTTCCGTTTAATATACTAAAGTTCTGATTATATTTTTCTTCTGTTAACTAGTTTTATCTGAACATTGTGGCCTTGTACCTATGGGATACAAAAATTGAAAAACAGCAAAAGGGAGCATATTGGTTATATTTACCTTAAGTGGGAAGTCTGGCACAGAGCTTTTTGGAAACTGAGGCAAAAGGAAAATGAACACACCTTTCTAAAAATTCCTTTACAGTAGTTGAAATCAACTGACAGAGTTTAAAGAATCCTCATAGCACTCACTCTGTTCCTTTTCCCATCTCAAACGTTTGTCCTTCAAACATAATGTAAAACTAGTTTTCAATAAACAAGAACATTCTGATAAGAAATTTAAGTGATTATTTTTCTAATTCAATGGCATTAAGAATTAAGCAACGTTGTGTGACAACTAACTTTGTGTGATGATTAACTTTGATAGAATTAGCCCTTCTCAGCAATACAAGAATCTAAGATACCTCCAAAAGTCTCAAGATGGAAAATGCTATCCACATCCAAAGAAAGAACTATGGAGTTTGAATGCAGATCGAAGCATACTATTTGCTCTTTTTTTCCCTTCTGCTTTGTTTTGTTTCCTCTTTCTCACGGTTCCTTCAATTAGTTGTAATTCTTCCTTACAACATGACTAATATGAAAATATGTTTAATAGGAATGTATATGTAGAGCCCCTATTAGATTGCATGCTGTCTTGGGGAGGGAGGGGGAAAAAAATTTAAAACTGAAAAGCTTATGCAAGTGATTGTTGACAAATCAAAATAAATTAATAAAAAAATTTTTAAAAATTAAAAATTAATTTTTTTGTTCTGAACCCAAATAGTCCTGAGCTTTTCGTGTGAAGGTTGCCACACATGCTATAAATAACAAGCAAACTGCAACTTCAGATCCCACAGGTCAAGTAAAGTCAAATCATTATCAACAAATTACATTGGAAAATGTCAGTTTTGTTTTTCTTTTTCTTTGTCCCCCCTAGTGGTAGGTGAATTAGGTGGAGGGAGGGAGAAAAAGATTTTTGATAATTGGGAAAAAAATTAATTTAAAGAATATATATAAAAAACATTTCAAATAAACATTTAAAAAGAAAAGGAAATGCCCTGCTCTCTAGTATGAATAGTGATTTTCAGCTTCTGGAGACCAGGGATCATGTGTTAGTTACACTTTCTCTGTATGAACTCAAAATTTCATGGGTACAACAGCTGTAGATCTTGTGCTACCTTGTGACACTTCATAATTGTCTGGTATTGCTACTGAAATTGTAAAGTTCTTTAGGGCAGAAACAGTGTTTTCTCTCATCTCTCACTTTTCTATACACAGTAGGTGCTCAATAAATTTTTATTTCTGAGCACATAGCAGGTTCTCTCTCACATGCTTGCTTACTTTGGGTTCAACCCAAACACTTTTCTGAAGACTTTCTTAAGAAAAATTAGAAAAACCGACTCCTGTATTTCTATTTTGATGGAAATATTGAATTTGTATACATTTACTGCCTCTAAATCCAGCATCTAACTAGGCAACTTTTGAAACATCTTATTTTTATTGCTATAGTTTTAACACAACCATCATTTCCAAATATATCTCTCCTCCTTCCCTTTGTAATAAGAACTAGAGAGAGGATGCCAATTAAAAGACATAAAATCAGATAAAGTCCCTCATAAGCCAATGTGGATAATATATACTAACAGACTTCAATGGGACACAGCTAATTTAAAAAGTCCTATTTTTCCTTTGGCATTAATTACATAACTTTGGAAAGTATATCTGCTTTTTGGTCCTAAATTCTTCCTTTATCCATAGATCTGAAGTTAAATTATTCCATGCTCTCCTAATTTGCTTATGATATCACCCTTTATGCCTAAATCATGTACCCATTTTGACCTTATCTTGGTATACATTGTGAGATGTTGGTGTATATCTATACCTAGTTTCTGCCATACTGTTCTTCTCATTTTCCCAAGTTTTTGTCAAATAATGAGCTTTTGTTCCCAATGCTTGGGTCTTTGCATTTACTAAACACTAGATTACTATGGTCATTTATTACAGTCTATTGTTTAACTAATCTATTCCACTCATCTACCACTCTCCATTCTATTTCTTAGCCAGTACCAGATTGTTTTTGATTGTTGCTTTATAATACAGTTTGAGATCTGGTACAGCCAGGTCACCTTCCTTCACAGTTTTTTCTTCATTGATTAATTTGATATGTTCTTCCAGATGAAATTGTAATTATTTTCTATAGAGCCAGCATTTCTAAAACAACATTGAAAAATAGTGGTAATGATAGGCATCCTTGAAATTTTTCTAGGTTATCCCTATTATAGATAATGCTCGCTGATGGTTTTAGATTCTACTTATCATTTTAAGGAAATCTTTATTTGTTCCTGTGATTTCTATTCTTTTGTAAAGGAATGAGCATCATATATTTTTTAAAAGCTTTTTCTACATCTATTAAGATAATCATAGCTTATTGTTGGCTTTATTATTGATATGGTCAGTTATAGTGATAGTTTTCCTAATGTGAAAGCAGTCCTAAATTCCTGATATAAATCCCACCTAATTGTAGTATATGATCCTTATGATATATTTCTGTAATTTCCTTGCTATTATTGTACTTAAAATTTTGCATCAATATTCATTAGGGAAATTGGTGTATAGTTTTCTTTTTATGTCTTCTCCTTCCTGGGTTAGGTATCAGTGCCATTTTTGGTCATAAAAGGAATTTGATATGAAAAAAAAAGATATTAAGCACTTTGCTTAATATTTAATTTAGTTTGCATTCTCTGAAAGCACTAACTAGCTTTTTATAGCAAAACAGCAGAAAAATCCATTTGCCACAGTTAATCCACAAAATGGATAATTCAGCTCCAGATATTCAACACGTGATTGTTTAAATTCCATTTGAAACTATTATGAGACTAGCATTCAGGGCTTCACTCCTACTCTTAAAATAAAAATGTGTGTGAACTCATATCTGTGTATGTTACAAAGTGTTTTCCTCACAACAGCCCTGAGAGATAGGGAGTGTAAAAATATTACTTTTCTCATTTGATAGATGCGAAAACCAAGGGCCAACCTCTTTAATTCAGAGAAGTGACTTGCCCTAGGCTAATAAAGAATTCTAATAAAATAAAAAAGTAAATAAAATTCTGACACCAAGTTCAGCTTTTTCCTACTTCTACATATTACTCATAGCCTAATTATCCTTCATTTGTCAATTTACATCTGCTATCCTACAAAATTCCTGAACCAAATCTCAATGAGATGACAGTTCCCTACTCCTGGTAACAACAGGATAAGAAATCTCAGATTTCTTGTTTTCTCTTTTGTCTGTGAGCATAAACACTGTTATAATGACAACATGACGCTGGCTTCCTATACAAATCCCTAAGCACTTTTATGTTTGTGTACTTGAGACTGAGATCATAAGAGCTTTCATAAGTAACTGTTGCATCATGTAAAAAGTTTGGCCTTGGAGGGGGGAGGGAGGGAATTATATAAGGATAAAAATAGAATTCAAGTCAATTAACATTTATTAAATATTTACTATATTCCAAGCACTGTGCTAAGAGTTGAGGATACAACAAAAGTTCCATATTTTGAAACAATTTCCTTTTGAATTTTTTTCCCAGACAAATCTAGGAAAGGGGAATTACTGCTATACAAAGCAGATGAATTCCAATTTATCACAATGGCATAAAATCAATCAGCATGATAATGGACAAGGGAATAAACATTTATACAACACCTACTACGTGGCAGGCACTGTGCTAAGCACTTTACAAATATTATCTCGTGATCCTCACAATAACCCTGCAACGTAGATGCTGTTGTTACCACCATTTTACAGTTGAGGAAACTGAGGCAAGCAGAGGTTAAGTAACTTGCTGTGGGTCACCCAGCTACTAAGTGTTTGAGGTCATATCTGAATTCAGGTCTTCTTGACTCCAGGACAGTGCTCTGTGCCATCTCACTGCAAATTATTCTCCCAGGTCTGCCCCGGTCATACCGAGGATCACAGATTTAGAGCTGGAAGGGAACTTCTAGGTCTTTTAGCCCAGCCTCCAAGAACTGAGGAAACAGGTGGCAGGTCTTCTCGTTGCACCACATGACATCCCAACAGAAGCAACACAAACACAAGTGACTGCTCAGGGAGGATACGTGTTTTCTTCTTCTTTTTTTTTTTTGGTAGCACCAAATCACTTTCTGGAAGGAAGTATGCAATCACTGGGAAAATTTTTGTAAAAACTAAGTTAAATGACAGTGACAAGCCTCCTTTGTAGCACTTTAGAATCTCTCATCTCAGGAAAATATACTTTAGGACTGTTGCTGAAAGAATAATTTATCAACTCATCAGAGAGAGAAACTTCTTGTTTGCAGCTTCAAATCAAAGGCAGGAGAAGCATCAAACCCTACCTACTTATTTCTTGGGTCTTCCAATGACACCAGTCAGTTGTACTCAGGGTTAAAGATGCTGCCGCCCTTCCAGCAGAGCAGGGTCCCAAACAGGAAGGGGACTATCTCGACAGACCACAGGTATGTAAGTCATAACTAAAGAATACCTGGGAAGGAACGTCTGCTCTTGTGTCCCTTTAATTCCTTTACCATTCCCTTTCCTTCTATCTCCTCCATTTTTCCTTTCCTTTGTGCACTGGGCTTAGATCAAGGTTCAGGTGTTGGCTCTGCCACATACTATCCACCTGACCTAGGGCATGTCACTGAATCTCGATGGGCCTTAGTTTTCTTAAATGTAAAAAGAGGGCTTGCTCCAGGTAACCTGTAAGGTCCCTTCCATTTTTCCTTTTATTGACCCATCATTTCTACATGTTGTACAAAACTTGTGGGAGAAGGTCATTCAGATCCCTAATCAATTAGCAAATAATTATTGGCTACATGAGGACCATCTAGACATATTACAAAATATATATGGTATATAATCCCTTTTGTACAAAGTGCTTAAGATCTATTTTGGTGACATGATATAAACACACGAAATATCAGAATGAATGAACAAACTGATTTATCAAGGGCACTGCCAACTGGGTATCAGCAGAACTCTCATCCCTTCCTCATCCACCTTCTTGCTGCGCCTCTGGCACCTCAGCAATCCTGGATGTGTTGCTATGCCAAAGAGAGGAGAAAAGGAGACCATTCACACTTGCAATCGGACAGTGCACTGCCAACGTAGGTGCGATGTTGACGTGCAGTAGTCATGTGCCATGGTACCACAGCTACACTCCTGTATGGTACCTTGAGATCACAATTGCCATTTAGGAAATTGTTTCCATGTGTAAGATGCATTTCAAGTTCCAAACTGATCATATAACCCTGCTGGTTAATTAGAGGCTGCCTACATACAATACAGCCCTAAACTGTAATCTTATGCAAAAAAACTGCATTACTTAAAATCTTCAACCAAATTTATCACTGAAGTCCTAAATTATTTTTATCTGCTTTTTAAAAATATAAACAAACAAAATTTGTGCTAAATCACTGTAAGACCTTGCGATCAATTTCATGTTCTACATCAGAGGATAAAAATCTGACATTTGATTTAAATGAGTTTTGTGAAATTTGTTTCCTTTAAAATAGCCTTACCATTTATCCCCAAAAAAAGTTTTGGAAAGATTTTTCCACAGTATATTCGGTATACATATGAACACTTTAAACGAAAGCTCTTTTTTTTTTTCTCCTTTCTTAGGCAGAGGTGTACCCTGCAGATGGTGATATAAGGAATAAGGATAAAGCACCAATTAAATGTAGTTAAATACACAGCTGTTTTGGCATCAATTCTTATACTAGTCAGACACTGAAATAGTCTTAGAAAATACCTTAGCAGATGATTGCTACTTTGCAGCACTTCTGAAAGTTTTTCTTTTCTTTTAAAAAGTGTATGAACTACCCTTTTCTCCCTTCTTTGCACTGCTAAAGGACTGGGGTGTGGAGTATTGCATCTACAGTCAAGAAATACTATACGTTGGTTAGTTTTTCTCAGTTGCCTTTGTGCTCGTCTTTCTTTTATATTCTTTGTTACAAAGAATGGCTCTCCAGGGAGGGAAGACAGGAGGGACGTACTTGGAAATAAGTGATGTAAAAACAAAAGATATCAAACTTTATGTATGTGTATCCTATAAACATAGGGACAGCAGCTAGGTGACACAGTGAATAGAGGGTCGGGCCTGGATTCAGGAAGACCTGAGTTCAAATCTGCCCTAAGACATTTATTTACTAGCTATGTGACCCTGCGCAAGTCACTTAACCCAGCTTGCCTCAGTTTCCTCATCTGTAAAATGAATAGGAAAAGGTAATAGCTAACCACTCCAGTATCTTTGCCAAGAAAACCCCAAATGGGATCATGAAGAGTAAGACACGACTGAAAAATGACTAAATAACAACAACATCCTATAACGTGGAAGTAAATGATGTGCTCTCTAATTTCCTTCCTACAAAGGAAGTAAAAACTTTCGCCCTTAAGTTCTAGGCAAATTGGACTTAATTCTCCGTTCTCTAAAAATGACCTATTATTCAAGCCTCTGCACCTTTGTTCATGTTGTTCCCCTAGAGCGATGCCATCATCTCCTCCTAAACTATTCAATCCCTGCCTATCCTTTAAGGCCTCATCCAATGCCCATTATTACAGGAAACCTTCCTTGATCCCCTCTTACAATTTCTCCCTCAACTACTGATACTACAATAGTACCTGCTGGTACTGACCTCTCCTTCACGAGTCTCTTTTTGGCTGCCTGATACGCTAATCTGTTATTGTGTATTACAGCTTTCTATGTATGTGTCTTCTCCTCCTATTTAACTGTTATATTTTGTAACTCTCCTAGCACCTAGTACACAGAATAGGCATTTTAAAATGTTTCTTGAATATATATATTCTTCTACTTTACCTGGAAAACCAGTCTGGTTACAAACCTTAAATTTTAAAGGTTCTGTCTTCTCAGTAACATGAAGAAGAATACAGAAAACATTTCAGGACACAGTATAATGAACATACAAAATGGGCTTTGCTGAGGCACAAAAACCTGACTCTGAAAATAGTTACATTAACCAGGTATCCCACATGTCCCAAAGGTAAAAGGAATTCAAGAAACAAAGCACACTTTTAGCACAGTCACATACAATAAGAATCCAGGGAGACTTCAAAACAATAGAAGTGTCCTTACCTCGGAGTGAACACAGGGGCCCATTTTCTTGGTTCTTAGAACGCTTGTTTCTAAACTGACTGGGAATATCTAATGAAAGGTCTTAAAACAGGAAAAAATTCATTAAAACGACATTGGCCTAATCACTGTGTTTTTTTTAAAAATCATCAATTTTATGGCTTCTTTGAAAATAAAGATTCAAACATTTTTATCATAAAAATAAGGCATAAATACCCAAATATATCTTACCAAGAAATGGATCAAACTTTCTAGATTCTGTCCCACATATTAAGCAGTTAACTTCATTTTGAAGAATGCCTCCAAATATAGCTGTGACAACAGTAGATGCTCCATTTCTAAAGAAAATCACCATGTGGGAAAATATTTTAATCATGAGGTCTATATTTCTTTGATAGCACTAAACCATTAATAAACATTTTTAAAGATTCATTTAAAACAAGTTTCTCCACTGATACTGGCTGTGTATTTTTTTTAAGTTCCAGAAGAAGAATAAAGGGAGCAAAGAAAGTTCCATGAAAGGTTTTTATTGGGCACAACCAAGGCTAAGCCATTGTTAGGAAAGACACAACCTAAACTTCAATAGAGTGCTAAATGTAAGGATCACACCCAGTTTAATTGTGGGGGGGTACTGCTGATAAAAGGTTTGTTTCCCTTTCTGTTTTGAGGACAGTAATAATGAGTGACTTCAGACACAGTAAAGCCTACAAAAGAGCCTTCAAGTGTCTTCAGTTTTGACATAAAAAATGCAAATTGGCTTTTTAAAAACTAACCTGTAGTTCTAATGAAACTTGAAAATCTGAGATATAGGAGAAAATCTAGAAGGTATAATTGTCCATTCTCCCTTGTGGTTTAATTTCTGTAAGATTCACAAACCAGTGCCATGCACAGAGTGGGCATATAAAAAATAAATTCTGAACTAGTAATAAAGATATTTGAAAAGGAGAAACAGAAAAAATTTTAAATCATTCATTCTCTTATGTTGCTACTAAAACACCATGGTTAGATTTAATTAAAGCTCAAATCAATTGTATTTTACTGTCAATTTAAACTTACTATAGTTCTTCCCCTTCAAAGATTAACTTCCAAGTTCTAGCTCCAATTTATTTTAGATTCATGTAGGATTACTAAGTTTTAGTTTACCATGATTTTAAACACTATTCAAATTAAACAGTAAAACCAAAATATATTCTCTCATTACAAATGTATACTAAAAACATAATTTAAAAATGCCTTTAAGTACTTCTTCCATTTGGAGAATGATTTAATAAATTGTGGCTTCTGTGTACAAATTATATTCTACTAGCTTAAAATAAATAATGTTAATGAGTAATACATTCCTTAATCAGTAATAAGACCAAGACTTATAGCTATGGGTTTAAATGCGTTATATCGTTTATTATTATTATTATTATTATTATTATAATAGCAATTGAATCCACTTCCAAGATAACTGTAGAGATCTCAATGAATAGGACAACCTTCAAGTTTAGCTTCTTGTACATTTTAGGTGTTTTAAGGTATTTTAGTTAATATTAAAAAACTATAACATGAAACATCAGTAGAATGCAACAGAAAAGCAGCACTGTTTTGTGTGAGAACTTATTGGAGACTGATTTATCCCACTGCAAAATTATGCTATTCAGTAAGGCAATGTGATAGGGTTCTGTCACTGTCCTTCTGATTTATGTCTCAGGTAACTGACCGAACAACATTATATTGAATTTTCCTGATGTCAGGCAGGAGTTTCTTAAAAGAAATATATTAATAATTACAAATTGCAACAGTATGAAGCAGAACATATTTATGGGTTTCCTATATAAAAGACTATATTGTATGTAAAATACACGAGCTATATTATGTTTGTGCACAAATATGCTGCATTAAAATATACAGTTCATTTTTCCACACTCAACAAAACTTTGAATGTAATATTACTGGGAGGAGATAACTCACCAGCACCTTCTTTTCTAAACTGGAATTTGGGTTGGGGGAGCTGTATATCTATGTATAGACTATAAAGATCTATACTGGGTCCATTCCTATAGTACAGGTGGCCACAGGAGGCTGAAAGTGGATGGAGGAACCCTACTTTAACATTAAACACAATCCAAAACCAAAAAACTAGCCTAACTACACTCACTAATAAGATCTAGAGAATGCTAGGCGGGCAAGACTACAGTCACACCTATATACAACTTACCTTTCTTTCTCTGATGAGTTTAACTTGTAATCCCCTTTCCTGCACAGATCAGGACTGACAAAAGTCTCAAAAATTACAACATAAGAGGAGACTGCACATTGACCAAAATCCAGGCTGAAATGACTGTAAACATCCCTGCCTAAAGCAAAATAAATGTTTTGGTCTCAGTGCAGGTTTCAGTCTATCAGAAATTACATGGGATAACAATTCAAAATTTTTTCATGTTATGGGGCAAGAAACACTTCTGAAAACTTACTGGTGCTTCAAGGTCAATTAGGGAATGAACAAATATGTTTTAGGCAAATTCAAGTTCCAAAATTGCTCAAGCTTATATTTTCAAATGGAAGTACAACTAGTTTGGGTAGAGTAAAAAAAATTCCATCCCCCCCCCCACCATTATCTTCACTATCATTTGAGAACTATTTATAAAAGATCAACAAAAACTGAACATATCCTACACTTTTTCTGATTGTGCAAACAATTTTTTAATGAATTTCAGTTAAAGCCCTCAGAAAAACTAAGAACAAATCTAATATCAAACTGTTCAAATGCAAGAAAAAGCAGGATTATTTTGGTATGTTACTTGTAAAGAATTTAAATAAGAAATGTATACGAAGTTTAAGTAAAACATTAACATTTTAAAATATAAAATACCACCAGTATAGTATTACATAAAAGCCCTACCCATGAAACTCCATTAAAAAACCAAAAACCAAAACAAAAGTCTTACATGCAACATTTGTTACTTGCAGAAAGACTAGAATTCTCTTGCAGAATTACTGATCGAGAAACTCCATTGAAGCCTCCCTGGAGTTCCAAGTGTAGATGGTCCAAAAGATAGCGCATAAACTCATGGGCATCTTGCTGCTGATAACCCCTTAAAAGAAACAAAAAATGTTTGAATATGGGGCCTTCACATGCTTAAATCAGTCAAGTGTTGGGCAAAGCAGGGTCTACTATCCAAATCAAAATGGTTCTATTACAAGAGTAAATTTTATGTGTCCCAATTTCATATGTTATCCTATCAGACATTAAATTCTAAAGTTCTACTACAAGTGACTGATAATTTTTAAACTAATGGGGCTTAGATTTAAAGAGGTTGGTTTAACCTTTAAATCTTGACTTAAAGAAATCTTTAAAAAATGCTAGAGAGCCAAGAGTTTCTCTAAGTCTGCAAATACTTCCCAATTAATGATATGGGAAAACCTTTTTCAAAAAGTTTTTTTAAATTGTGTTCATTCATACAATGAAATTTTCCTTTGATGATTAAATATTAACACCTGACTTTCTAAAAAAAAAGACACACAACACCTTTCAGATGTGCTCTCTCACTGCGGTAATGCAAAATGTTCTTATATTAAAACAGAAGATCACTTGGCAACAAAGAGCAATGAATACTGGCAGCAAACAAAAATTAAGCTAGGAAGCAAGAAAGTTTTAGAAAGCTATCTGACTTAGAAATGTCTCTAAAGTATGATATTTTAACGAATTCAGGACAAAAAAGACATAGTGTAGCACACTGCCTCATTCACTTTATAATACAGAATTTTGTTTGGCCTGGTTCTAAATGTCTTAAATGACAAAACTTTCACTAGTTCTATTACCAAAAAATTCCATAATCAACACTTCTTAACAAAAAATTTCTCCCAATATTTGTTTTCCCCATTCAATTCGTAAATCCCATTTTTAATTTTGTTAATTATGCTAAATAATTCCCATAGTCCATAACAGTCATCATTATTCATTTGCCAACTGTTACCCTGACAATTCCCCTAAACTTTTGCATTCACAGTTAATTCACTGTAAACATATGAAGAAATATAAAAAATTATCATAAAAAGGTAAAGCTTGTATACAGACTCTATTGATTTGCCTGTTAGACAATCAAGTGGAAATCAGCCTAATGTCTGTACTATCTAAAATGCTAAAAGACCAAGGGGCTATATCAACCAAAAAACCAAACTGTTCTGTGCTATTTTAAGAGTAAGCCTGGGTTACCATCTCCTAAGACTCATCACACATACTACCAACCACACTTCAAATATTATTTGGTCATTAGGTCAATTTGCATTTGTTATTTTAAAATATTCTTTCTTTTAAATAGCCTAAGGTTGTTCTTAAAAGCACAACATGTTTTCTATACAGTTTCCCATTAAATTTCCTTTCTTCACTTAAAAATAATTTATACTCTACTTTTTTCCTTGTCATTTAAAAGATGATAGCATTGCAGGATAGAGCCATTCTGTTTTTCTTTAAAAGTCAATTAATACTTGTGTCTACTTCAGCTTATGTAATTTCAACAGAATATAAAAACTTTACTCATTTTTCTCTAGGTGTTATTGAACTATACTGGTAACTTTGGGGTGATCTGGTGACAATCCAAGGAGCCATTTACAATAATATAATTTTGATAAATGAAAATCTGAATAGGAACCATAGCACACTGGGGAGAATCAACAAATATTTTTTAAAATATTATACCAAAAACTTCACAATCCCACCTGGATAATTTTCTTATTGGGTTTCCGTAAAGACTTTCCAAATGCTCAATTACATTTTCAGAAGGGGAAAGGAAGGGAGGGAAAGGACATAAGGAAGGCTTACAATAAGAGGAAAGGGAAAGTTTTCCTTCTTCAACGATGATGCTTCCTACATAAACAACTGCTATGTCACCCATGGAGCTACTTGTCAACCACTGATGGAATGGATTTTGAGGAAAACAATAGATATCTTTAAAATAAAATTAGAATTCAGGCCCACAGGAAATAAACAGAATGGAAACTCAGTGGGGTTTGAGTTTAAATCACATTACTACCTTTAGTTGTTTTTAACTTCAAAGTCTCATCCTCTATATGCCCCACAGTTTCCTTATTACAATAAGAATTAAATCAGTAAATCTGTCTCACAAGAGACACTAAAAATAGTCACTATAAAAAACTTCACACCTATAAAAGGCTAGAATAACAATAACACTTTTTCTTAAGGATGAAAGGCTGAGTGTAAGAGGCACATAGCTGAAATGTGTGGGAGATAGAAGGGCAAAAGTATTGTCTTTTCACAATTGGTTCCTTAAACAAAAAGAATCCACTTAAGACAAAGAACTTCGCTGATACAAAAAACTATTAACTTTTATTTTCTAGAATGTGACAGATAAATTCAAATATCAAGACAAACACCATGAAGTCTAGACACACACAGATACTTGTGTGACATGACAACATGTACAACAGTGACATGTACCTGTGCACTATTCTCTATGTGTTAGGAGTTATCAGTACATAATCTATAAAATGGCAAAAAACCAATAAGGAAAATGATATCCCTGTGCAAGAAAGAGCAAGTCAAGTCACTCTAGAACAAACATTCCAAAATATCTGGGATACACTCAAAATTTCAGTTTTTTTAAAGATACTAAAAATCTTTAACATTTACAAAACACTTCTGATTACTGTGAAAAAACCAGCTACAAAACCAATATGGCATAGTTTAGCTACTCCTCTGTCATATCTGCTACTGAGGTTTTTCCAAGGAACACAAAATTGAAAGTGAACTAGGTTCACACGCATGGAAAAATAGTGAATTAAAGTGTTTAAACTGAAAATGTTTAAAAATCTAAGCTACCAGAATCTCATATAATTGTATTTTTTAAATCCCCCTTTCTAATAGAGAGCAGTATACAAAAAAACCTCTTTTGGATCAAAAATAAACAAGTTACACCCAATAATGGCCTAACACCCTACACAAAAAAAATAATTAGCAAATATATGAATTAGATTTCAACCATTCAATTAACTGAATTCATTCACCCTTATTCCACTTTATGTGCTGGAAGGCTCTTCAATAAACAGCATGGTCAAGATGGCAGTGTAGAAGGAAGTAGTAGAGTGAGATCCCCTCCAAACAGAGCTAGAATGTGAACCAGATGGAATCATGATGGGGAATTTAAGACAAAATCACTGCGAGTCCTTTTTCTGGCCCCATTCTGCAAAGGGAAACAGTGGTCTTCAGACACTGACAACTATTCCGGCCAGAGCACAAGTCCTAGACTATACCAGGGCACCTCAACAAGGACATGTACCAGCTGGCAGCTTTGTTACCTTTACTCAGCTGTAGGTCATAAACTCCAGGCAGACTAACAACAGGACCTGTTCCTGGGAAAGGAGGCCCAGAATGGGATACCCAGAAGGCAGCAAGCAGCAGTGGTATGCCTCTGAAGCCTTGAGAGGAATAGAAAAGGTAGGAATCCCAGATACAAGAATCCCATGGTTCTATCCCTCTGAACCAGCAGAGTTTCCCAGCTGGCTGACAAGGGCTGAGCCCAGCAGTAGTCTACTGTTGTTCAGACCAGTGGGAGCATCAAGCAGACTTTATCCTGCATCAGACCATTTTGGGAGTGCTGAAAGCTTGCAGGTCCCCAGCCTGAGCTGAATACAGCAAGAAAATAGCAAAAGGACCAGTTTAGACTTTCCCTTCAGAAGTGCACAGTCAGGCTCCAACATCAAGTCCAAAGTCAGAAAATAGTTTTTAAGAATGCACAAATCTTAGAGAGAGAGAGAGAGAGAGAGAGAGAGAGAGAGAGAGAGAATCCCACCATAAAAGGCTATCATTATTATTATTAGGACAGAAATGCTCAAGGAGGAAAAAATGACTCCAAAACACCTATAAGCAAAACCTCAAAGGAAAACACAGCATGAGCACAAATTCAACTAGAATTCCTGGAAGAGAGGAAGCAAGAGTTAAAAAATATTTTAAAATGTTTTTGTCATTGAAATGGGAGCACAAAAAGGTCACCTTCTGAAAGAACTCCACCCAAGTAAAACTTCCAGCTACATGATAGCCAAAATCCAGACCTTCCAGGTCAAAAAAAAAAAAATGCTACATGTAGCCAGAAAGAAAGAATTCAAGTACCCAATTCGTATAATTTAGCAGCCACCACTATCAAGAAATGGAGAATTTGGAATATCATATTCTAGACAAAGAATATGGACTTATAGCCAAGAATAACTTTTATCCAGAAAACCTCAATTTAATCTGAAAGGGGGGGAAATGGACAAAGAAAAGAGGGGCATATTTCAAGCATTCCTCCTGATGAAAACACAATAACTGTGTAGAAACTCTGAAGTTCAAACACAGGAGTTAAGAGAAACACAAAAAGGTAAATCTGAATGACCATTAAAGAACTAAGCAAGGATAAACTGCTTACATTCTAATACACAGATAATACTTGTGTCCCCACTGAAATCTTTCATCAGCAGAGGTCAAAGAGAGAGACTAATTAGACAAAGACTTAAAAGTGATCCTATTATATCTTGACACTCTTAAGAAAAGAATGGAAAGAGAGGAGAAGAACACACTTGGGAATGAGGAGGGACAGTGGGGGGCAACTGATGCATGAATCTCATACTTATCTGAACTGATTAAATGAGGGAAGAATACACGCTGCACACAATTGTGTATGAAAACATATTGCACTTGACAGGGAAATGGGAGAAGGAAGAATTGGTCACTCAGTTAATAAACATTTATTAAGAGCCTGCTATGTGTCTCTGTGTGTGTGTGTGTGTGTGTGTGTATTTCTGTTACTCACGACATAAATATTAAGTGGCTCTTGAAGAAAGGTAAAGACCTAAGCTGGGAGACAGGAGGTGTGAATTTAAAACAAGGCAAACAGAATGAGCTGAGACACTAAGGCAGGAAATGTGTGTAAGAAATAGCAAAATTCTCAGGTCACAGAAGCAAAGGGACCCAGATAATAAGAAATGTGAGTAGACAGACACTGGGGAAGGTATAACCTTATAGAGGTCCTTAAAACACTAGCTGAAAAATTCTGGTATTCAAACAATGACATGGAAATTCATGTAGAATTTTTTGGTTTTTAATGTAGATTCTTCAGCAGGGAATTGATGTTATAAAAACCACGTGACAAAATTATTCAGGGAGGTACATATTAGTGACTGATAAGATACAAGAGGGACACCAACAGGATGTGATCATTTTGGTGGTTTTTATTTCTAAAAGCATTTCAAAGTAAAGAGTGTCTATTTTAAATAAAAATGTTTTTATTTTTCTACACATAGTTAGATTTTGTAGACTTTACAATTTAAGCCAGAGTCAACCTACCCTATATATGCTAATTGAGGCAAAAGCTATCACTTATTTGCCTGAAAAGAAATGTAAATAGAAACATCCAATAATTTATTACTTGTGTTGCCTTCTGTAGAGACTGAAATTCTTCTGGGATAAATGTGGTGAGACCTTTTTAGAAACCATTATTACATTAAAGAGAAAGTTTCACCAAGCTTTATCCACAATGTAATCAAGAGGCCAGGAAGGGACAACTGGAAAAGAGATAACAGATCTGACAAGGAGGAAAATTATCCCTCTTATCATGTAAATAAAGCCCATTCTTGATTCTTCAAGAGAACAAAGGAAAAACTTGGCTCAGAAAATTTTTCTGTTTCATCAGTGATTAAGGAAATCTACCAACTTCACCCTGCCATGCACAGAGCTCGCCTGTCTAATATTTCCCTCTTCCTTCAAACAGCTATACCATGTTCATACACTGGAACAATACAAACAAATATCAACCCTGAAAACTATATCCATCAAGCTTTTGCTCACCAGAAGAGCTGAGCCACCGGCAGAAGACGCAGGGGGGGAGACAAGTTTCTACAGAATACACCAGGCTGTGTCAGCGCCATGGCTAGTGGCCCCCACTTAATGAATATGAACACATTTTTGTTGGAATATATGGTGTAAAACAACAAACTTAACATATGGAGAAAATGCTAACCTTTGGGGCAAATAACTTAGATGACCCCAGCAATCTGTGCATAAATTCCTTTAGAGATGACAGGACTTGGAATTTTGGGACAAAGCTGACAGCAAATCTAAAACAGCAAATTTCTACTCTCATCCTGCCTTTTATTAAAGTAACTAGAAAATCTGTACAAAATTAAGTTCTCTCAGATTAAAGTTTAAATAGCATGATATCTGAAAGAATTTCCATAAAAACAAAGACCTAATGGTTGCTAATAAACATAGTGGTTGCTAAGTAAAACTGGTACCAGACATTTCTGTCATGTAGAATCAAGGCAAGGATTTCAACATTCAACAACTTCATAATATTTAGGCCACCATTAGGAAATGAGGCAGAATGTGTCAAGAAGTTTTCTAACAATGTCCGTTTTTAGGAAGGAAGAAGACACACTATAATATCATTAAAAACCTAAGGAGTAATGTGTCTTCAAAATAAGATGAATAAATTCAGGAGAAAATGGCCACACTTTGTGAATAACAAACATGTGAAGTACTGAAAATGTCATATTTCCAAATCTCATCTTGAACACTTCAGGGAAAGAGAGGTTGGATTTATCTGTGACAGTGAAATTATAAATTCTGAGGCTACTGAAATGAGCAATACTATTCTTGTGCTTTTTTGCCCATTGTTTGAATCTGATGAATGAAAATTCCTTCATTCCTAGACTTCACCTGAAACACATGCTACCGTCTGCCAAGAAATAAATACAGGCACCCTCCAAGTGTTCTCTTTCTCAAAAGTTGTTCACACACAAGTGCAGTGACACGTTGTAGAGTTTTACCACTTACTACACAATGCAATACAACTTAATACATTCTAAATGATTTCCAGTAAAGACTAAACTTTATAAAATTTACTAACAGCCCTTCTTTTTGTTCTGAAGTCATAAAACAATTAAAGATTATTTATAACGTATACACTTCTCATTATCATTTAACAATACTATGCTGAAGCACTTTGAGTTTCAAAGTAAGTTTCACCGATGTATTTCTTGTGAGTCTAAGACTATTTTAAAAGACAGCCCCTATTTAGAAATACCCAAATTCAATAAAATGTTTGCCCTTATAAAAAAACCCATGCTTCCCTGCAACAAACACAAATAAATGTTTAACTATGTTACTGAACCAAATAAAATTTGTTCTTCTAAGTAAATTTAATTTTTGCTTATCTCTAGAAATAAAAGTACACTCCTAAAACTGAATTAATGCCTTGACTAAGGACATCACTTAGACTTACATTATTTCTTCAGGTTACGTGAAGGTTTCAGGAACTAGTAACTTCCAAAAGTAGAAAGATGCATATGGCTGGTTTATAAAACTTTTATTAAATAGCACTTACCTAAAATTTGGCATGATTTTCCAAACAACATAAAATAAGGATTCGGGGCTAAATGCAGTTTGGCTGCCTTGCCATAAAGCACACAATGTTTTTCTAAACTCTTCTACCAAGGAACTAGAAAAGCAGGAAAGAAAAAGAAAAGATATCATTACCTCTAAAAATGCTGTTTTAACCTAAAATTCCTACAAAACAATATAGAAATAAAAACAAAGGCAAAACCCCCACATCCTACCTGCTTTCCTGACATGGAGTGCTTTCTCATATCTCTACTTTAGGGCCAAGTTTGGTCATTATAATTTCACATATAATTTCACAGCATTAAGTTCTGATTATTTTTTAAAGCCATGAGCTTTCTATTTATTACAATCACCAATTTTATAATTCAAATGTTACCAAACTCTCTGCAGAGTGCTAAATCCATTCTGCCCCAAAATAATGAAAGTATCACCCACTGAACAGTTGTTAAATGTTGTAAAATACATGTGACTGCTTGCTATTTGAACACACTGAGCAGCAACACTTTGAAAATTTCAGTTGTGCCTATTAGTTTACACACTACACAAAAAGCATTACAACAAGTCATTTTTTCCTCTCTGCTGAAAGCCAGAAAGAACATATTCCTATTAACTCACACATTGTTATCCCCTTGGCTCCTGGTGTGATAAGTCCGCCTCCCTGCTGTTTTCCCATTTCGTAATTCCACAGCTGGAAGTTCTTTGAAATAACAGCAAAACTGCTGAATATTACTGTTTTAAAAGCAAAGGCAAGGAGAAAAAAATGGTATGAGAAAAGAAATAACATAAGCCTGAGCAAAAAAGCAAGTAGTGCACAATTTATACTTGACACTTGGAAATGTTAGTCTATTTTTTTCCTTTGAATTGCACATAACACAACTATTTTTCAATCAGAAGCCTGATGTTTCTTTTTTAATAGTACCAAGACAAATGGGGTAATAGGAGAATTTCCCTGAGATGAATACACAAATTAAAGGGAGACAATGTTTTAAAACACTTTTCCTCTCTTTTTTAAACATCACCATCTATTCAGTCACTCTTCAGTTTTTCCATCATAGAAACAATCTCATTTTATCTTCTTTCAAGTGCTTTACCCCAGCAGAAGTCGGTGCTTTCTACTTCACTTAAAAAAAAAAGTTTCATAACAGTACCTTTCAACCTCTGGAGTAGATGTTTAGTACAGTAGAATAGAATGTCCTCGAGATCCCTTCCATGAAACTACATTTTATGTGCAACTGAATTAAAAAGAGTAATTTCTAAAAATCACTTCAGTGTCTGACTTCCCTTAGGTTAGGGGCTCTCTAAAGCAAATCCAACTCAATGGCAAACAGCCTTAGAGTACTATACTTATATTTATGCTATACACTAGCCAGAGAGGGAAGCAGAGTGGTGATTACAATTTCTTCCCCAGTGGGAGTACACACAGTGATTGGTAGTACTAGGTGAAGCTGAGATCATTTTTAAAGCTAATAGTTTAAAATTCCTCAAATATCAAATGATTTCTTCTCATGTTCTCAAGACAATATTTACCGGTCATCTTCTTGTCACTATGTTCCTTCTGATCTAGGATAGAAAGCACTTCTCTGACAATTCTCTAAATATACTAAGACACATGTGGTCCAACAAGATACTAAAATTTGCCACCTACACACAATTTCTCTAGATTCTGTTTGACACAATGGGGAAATACAGAATCCTTATGGCCCTGGGTTAGGCTATAACTGTAACTGTTACCTGAGGGACTGAAGAATAGCATTCATAAAACAAGTGTTCCCCAAATTCCGAAGGCCTGTAGTACAAAGCGCAGTGGTACTTCCCTACAAATTCAAAGTGAATGACACAGTCAGTAGGAGGTATTAATAACTGCAAGTAATAAACAATTGTTCCACACCATAATACTACCATTTAAAATAATGATGCTATATCAAATCAGAAATCAACTTTCCTGTCCAGGGGTATTTGTCAAGATGAACTTTTTCTTCTCTTCTATGTAAGTAGTACTGAAACACTTCCCACAGTTTGGAGAGATTCCCTAAGATGAATTTGTTTAACTTCACAGACAAAAAGACCTTAATATTTAACTATTTACAGCTATTCTAAATCATCATCTGCTCTATGCTTTTGTACATACATATGATTACATAGTTGTAAATCATGTTATACTACTACTACTTCATGTTCTGTTTTTTCCTAAACATTCTTTCATACATACATTTCTAGGTATCCACACACTTGCCAATTTTAATAGCCACATGATATTCCATAGCATTATTATATCATAGTTTAATTAGTCCCTATTGCTGGACAGTGGTTTTTCACAATTTTAAGCATTATAAACATCTCTGTACAAACCACCTGGCTTCTTTTTGCGATTATTCCCTTGAAACATAACACAACCAAAAACAGAATTGCCAGATCTAAGGGTATGAACATTTTTTTACAGCTATTACATATTACAGTTTCTCTCCTGAGACAAACATCTACTACAACCTATGATAATGTGACTATCTATTTCTCCATATCACCAATACTTTGTTTTTATTATTTGGATATATTTTCCCTCTACAAAATCCAACTCCAATGCTTCAACATGGTACAAGAGGTCACTCTGTGTCCCCAAAGCCTATACCAGTGATGCACAAGCTCTAGTAAGTTTACTATGCTGAAAAGACTTTGGGGATGGTCCCAGTGACGGTGTGTCTACTTTCTGAGAACCAGTCTAGGTAAGGTGAGGCTTATTAGCTGTAAGCTGATCATGTTAGGTAATGAATCTTTTGGCTATGCCCTTAAAAACAAAGTAACCGTATCCAAAAAGAAAACATTTGTCTTACATGACCTATTCTTGAAAATATCATACTTAATCTTAATGATCACCTCCTTCCCTTTATAAATGCTCACAAACTATCTCTTAATAATATGTGACCAAAATGTCAAGTGGCATTCCTGAAACCCTCTACTCCTGGCAACAGAACCAGGTTTGACCTTGGGAAATGTCTCTCTAACACTAACACAGCTTGTGTTTTGTCCTCACTTAGATAAAAATGGGAACAACTGAATTTGGTTCATTTCTGTATTTGCATCAGCTCATCTGCAAGCAAATACAACTTTGAACATAATGAGAACAGCACTCACCTCTAAGCCACAAGCAAGGGAATAGGGTCACTGTCTTTCCTTAGCCTAGCCTGTTTCCCATATATGACATTCTATCTCCCGCTTGTTTTTGAATGTTCTCCCTCCTTGCATTTGGGTCTGGAAATCTCCCTAGTTCTGTTCCAGGTTCAAGTCCTGTGCCACTTTCAATATGAGGATTTTCCAAATCACGTCAGTTTTTAATGCTCTTCTCCCCCAAGTCACTTTGCATGTACTTATCAGTGTCTCTACTGCTTCCTGCCAGTGGAATAAAAGCTGCTTGATAGCTGAGGATTTGTTTAGTAGTCTCAATGCCAAGCAGAGAGTCTGGCACAAAGAAGGTCTTTAATAAAATGCTTATTGAATTGAGCTGAATTCCTTATTACAGGGTGAGTGGAAGAGGGTGATGGTAGCAGTAAAGTCCTTCTATTAATGAAAACTGGTAAAAGTTCTGCAACTTACAGACTTAAAGAGCTGCCTGGGGCATTGAAATGTTAAGTGACTTGCCCAATGACATATGTATCTATCAGGACTGGAATCTGGGTCGTAGTGACTTGAGGCTAACTCTCTAACCATTATACCATACAGCACCATGCAATTACATGGTATAAGAAAAAAAAATGGACTGGGAGTCAGAAGACATGGGTTTGAATCCTGACTTTTATTTAGGATCACATGATTTTAGAGATGAAAATGCCCTAAAAGTCACGTGGGCCAGTCCCTTCACCCTAGAGAGAACCTTTTAAGTACCAAAGCAATGTTGACATCTTTATTATAATTCAGCTTTCCAGCAGGAACCAAAGCATATCTTCCTATTTAGTCATGTTCCCTTTATTTATCCTACTATGGTTTTTAAATTGCCCTTGAATAAACTTAATTTGTCCTGCGTTAAGCAAATATTTAACATTTTTACCACTATTATAAATAAAATCTTTTTTCATTCCACTTGTGGGACTATACCATAGGAATACAATTGATTTTATGGGCTCTTCTCTAACACTCTAAAATCTATGAAGGCAAGGACTATGTTTGATTTTTTCCACTTATCTCTCAGCATTAGTAGGCACTCAATATATTTTGCTGAATGAATGAATTCAATCAAATCTTCTATCTTAGAACACTTGCTACGATCACAAATTACTACTAGCAAACTTTCTGGTTAATTTCTAAGTACAAAATAATATTGGGGAAAAAAAGTTAATGAAATATGATATTACCTAAGTACATAATGGTGATATAGCAAAGAGGGAAGGTGATTGCAAGAGCAATCAGGGAAAGCTTTTTGCAGTAAATGATCTTTGAAATCAATATTTTACAACCCAAAAGGGCAGGAAAGGCTTGCAAGCAAAGAGCCTGCTTAGAGGCACGGATTGCTTGAGAGACTGCTTGAGAGATTGCCAGCATGAGTGTTTCAGTCCCTAAGAATGACATCAGGGAATGAAGGGTACAGAAAATCTAGGAGCTAATTACTGAAGTCACTGAGCAAGTTAAGGGGAAGTGCCAACAGCTGGTAAATGACAGCCACAAGGACAGTGAAAGAAGAATGGGAAAGGAGGTATAGGGATAGAGATCAGACTTTCACACCTATCAAGGTAAGTAGAGGGATTTGTAGAAAAAAGAGTGGCCTCTAGTGAACAGGATTACAAAGGAGCTGGTATCATGAGAGGAAAGCCAAATTTCTATCAAATGGAGGTAGGAGAGTTTGTTCACAATAAGAGCGGGGGGGGGGGGGAGCTAGGTGGTGCAGTGGATAGAGCACTGGCTCTGGATTCAGGAGGACCCAAGTTCAAATCCAGCCTCAGACACATAACACTTATTGGCTGTGTGACCCTGGGAAAGTCACTTAACCCCACCGCCTAACCGAAAAACAAAAACAAAAAGAGCAAGGGTTCCAAAGGCCACAATGGAATTGGCTGAACTGAGTTAGAATAAAACTGGGAAGAGTAGGAATGATGAGAATAGGTTGAGGATTTTAAATTCTGTAATATAAGCATGCTGCTTAAAACTTAAACAGTGGACCAAACATATGGACCAAAACTGGAGAATCAGTACAACAGAAAAAGACTCTCTTAAAAGAATAAGTTGATAAAAGCTTTGCAGAAATGTTCAGAGAATTGGTTGACTTCATTTCTGTAAAGAGTTTTTGGTAGTTGAATCCATATAGTTCTTGCATGTTATCTTGGTAGGTAGACTTCCAAGTATTTTATATATTCCATAATCTTTTAAATGGAATTTGTCTATCTACTATTGAATTTTACTGGATTTATTTTTTATCCTACAACTTTAATCGATTCAAATAATTTTTTTTTAAGCAAATGGGGTTAAGTGACTTGCCCAGGGCCACACAGCTAATAAGTGTCAAGTGTTTGGTCTGAGGCCGGATTTGAACTCAGGTCCTCCTGACTTCAGGGCCAGTATTCCATCCACTGCGCCACCCAGCTGCCCCTGATTCAAATAATTTTTAGTTGACTCCCTGAGATTCTCTAAGCAAAAAGCAATTTTTTTCTTTGCCTATGCTTATTCCTCATTTTCTATTTATTGATCTGGCTAACATTTCTAGTCCTATATCAAACAGTAGTAGTGACAAAAGACATTCTTTTTTTACCCTCGCTCTTACTGCAAAGGCCACAGGTTTATCTTTATTACATATAAAGAGTCAACAGTCAATGGGCTCTTGGTTTTAGATACATACTACTATGTTAAGGGAAAGGTTAACTTTTCCTATGTTTTCCACTTTGTTTTCTTTCCTAAAAAGACAAAAACAAAATACAGAAATGGTATTTGTATTTTGTCAAAAGCTTATTCTGTATTTATTGATATCATCATGACTTTTGACCAGCCTTGAACTCCTGGTATACATCCAACCTCATCATAGTGTATGACCTGTGATATTTTGTTGAAGCCATTTTGCTAATACTAATATTTTATTTAGAGGTTTTGTATAAATATCAATTAGCAATAATGTTCCCTAGTTTTCTTTCTTTATTTTGATTGTCCTTGTTTTACATGAAAAAACCATATTTGTTTCATAGAGAGTTAGTAGGATCTCTTCTTTTTCTATTTTTGCAAATAGTTTGTATAATACTGAAACAAGATTTTCTTCAAATATTTGATAGAATTCACTTGTAAATCCACTTGATTTTTTTTTCTTTTTGGAGTTCATTTGTGATTTATTTTCCCAAGATCAAGGTGTTTAAATTCCCTATTTCTTCTAACATTAATCTGGGTATTTTATGTCTTTGCAACTAATCATTCATTTCATTTAAAGTGTTGGTTTTGTTGGCATATAGTTAGGCAAATAATGTTCTTTCCATGAAACAAATCTACATTCATCTTAGAGCATAAAACTGGAGGAAAATTATTATTAATCTGAGTTTTCTGAAGAATTATATTTAGTTAATTTTCTACCATCAATAGAAGGTCCTGAATAATAAAGTTATGGAACTATACTAAAATTTTAAAGACTTGCATCTGAACTCAAAATCTTATAAAAGTGAATGTTGAAAACTATCTTTACATGTAATTGGAAAAAATAAAATACTATTAAGGGGGAAAAAAATAAAATTATGGTATTTCCACCTTAAAAAAAACCCCTTGTATCCAAGAAGTATTTTTAATAGTATCTTATTTTTCAGAGCACCACTGTAAAGAGATACAGTGCTAAAGCAAGCCACATGTACTTGAACTGACTGAGAAATACAATAAAAGAGAAGCTTAGAACACTTAACAACCTCGGAGTGAATCTTGGAACATTACAATTTAAGTCTTCTAACCACAAATCGAGGTCTTTTCCCACTAAACTATCGTTTCTTGTTACTCAGATCTCTCAATATAAGTAATCAAGTATATAAGAAGTTTTCATCCAAGTACAAATTTTGGGGATTTGTTATATACAGTTATTGCAGTCTGGATCACCTTCCTGATCCAGGCTTTGAGAGGTAAGGGAAATAGAGAAAACAAGAGCAGTTTGTAATAACAATGTTACCACACATTTGTGTAGCAGTTTACAACATACATACAGTTTTCAAGGTTCTTTAGGTCTCAAACATTCTATAAGGGAGTTAGGGGAAATTTTATTATGAGATAAGGAAACAGACTCAATGATGTTAAATGACTTTCCCAAAAGTTTCAGCTTATTAAATAGAGAAACTACTATAACTAGATTTCCTGACTCAAATATTCTTTCACTTACTTGTCTTTATACTTTGGGTAAGTACATGGTTAGTGAGAACCTTGACATGTAGATTCCACTTTGTCCATTTTAGTCTCTCCTACCAGAGAGGTTCTATGGCCCCTGGATCTCCTGTCTATCTATATAATCTCACTTCCTTAACCTTTCCTCAACTTCTTACTCTTCTTCAATAACATTTGCATAGCTCCAAAGATCCTTGTCAGAATGCACTCAAAATCCAGCCTTGGATCATTTATAGGAATCTTCAAGAAGTATACTGCAATTGTAGTACTGTGTCAAAATAACAGCTAAATCATACCAACTAATTGATCTCAGAACAAAGTTTAATTACTTACATTTACTTTCAACAACTTGCTGTTTAGAGATGAGTTTTCCAAAAGTTTCCTTTTCCTATGTCTGTCCGCTGTAAAAGCTGAACTATAGAGAAATAAATTAGATATTATAAAACCTAAACAAAACAGATTACGGTTTTAAAGATACCCAAGTAGTTGAATGGCACTCCAGAGTAGAGGCTTTGTTTCCATACACACACACACACACCCCCATCCTCCCCTCCTGGAGGTATGAAATGACTCAAAGCTGCATTTAGCTGGAAAGTCTTCTCTCCTAGCCCTCTCCCTGTACCCCACCGCATGTTACAGACTTCCACCTCCCAAAATGTTCGCTTTTCTTGCATTGGAGGATTCGGGTGGGGAAGAATAGCTTCTGAACACAAAAAGTCTGGGGTACACTAAGCTAATATTATCCTTCAGGAGCCATAATTTTTAGTCCAGAATGTGCTAATTCCTTGCTTTAACATATGGCTTTGAAATTTATAGTAAACATTTGCCTTAAAACAAGTAATACCTTCCTGAAGAATTTATTCAAAATGAAGTGGGTACCCTAAAGTAAATATAAATTAGCATGAAAGTTCTGAACTAAGATAACTCAACCTTTTGCTAGATAAAAGGAATGCTTTACATGGAATTTATCCAAGAGCAACTTCTCATCTTTCAAAAGTTATTCAAATGTCAAAAATTACTTTTAAGTTGCTATATACTTGGCTTACCAATCAAAAAAAAGAAAAAGAGCTACATAAGCTAACACTGACTATTGGTGTACAATTTTCCCCTCTCTTGAAAAAGGTATCCCGTTCGTAATACTGTATCCAGTCAATTTCCACAGAATAACTACATAAATAATAATATTACAGATTACAGATTCTAGTGATATCCAGTCAAATACTACAAGGCTTAAAAACATGGCCAGAAAGAATTACATCAGAACTGTGTGTATTCTTTTGTCTTTTTTGTCTTTTTAAATATAAGCGCGATCTATTTCCATTTTCTCTAGCATATGGGACAAAGTGAATTATTGTTGACCACAACTGTTTTTTAAAAAGTGTGGGTCAATGTAGAATAAGATAAAAATAAGAATTCATTCTGCTTCTAAACAAGCTATCTGCTTTAGGAAAGCTATAATTCTACAACTAGTTCACAAGAATTGTGTGACCCTAAATGTTTAAAACAAGAGACACTATGCCAACCCTCAAACATCTTTTAAAATCTGCAGCTATGTCCATTATGCAGTGTCAGGTTTATAATCACCAATTATAATCGCTGCCATAACTCTAACATATAAAAATGGCAGACTTAGTAGTCAAGAAACTGCACTGGCAACATGATACTAACGTTGTTTGTTTTTTAAAAAGGCAAATAAAACGTATTAGTCTAAAATGTAAGAACCACTAGGTAACACTCTAACAAAAAATGTTCTTAATCTTTATTGGTTGAATTTTGGGATCTAAAATTAAGACGCAGAAAGCTTATCCAAGCTTATATGCAAAAATATTTTAAAGTCAGGACCTTGATCCATATAAAGAAAAAAGGTACTACTATTTAATATACCTCAAAACAGAATATAAACTAGTTGAGGATAGGGCTTATTTCCTTTCTGTTGTGATATCCTCAGTCTTAAGTTCCTGGCACATAGTAGATCTTCAATAAATGCTTGTGGACTGATTTTGTTTTATTTTGCTTATTTAAAATTACCTACACTCTTATTGCTAGCTAAAGTGATTCCTAAACTTGTTCAAAGACTTCTTTGACCTCTAAGGCCGTTTCTACAAGGAGGGAGCAAACAGTGAAGTTCTTCACTATTAAAATGAATGGCCAATTCAGCTGAAGCAATCAAACAGTGAGCCTGAATTTACAGATTACCTTATCAGACTGCAGACTGCCTGAGGTTTCTAAGGCACATCTAATACTCATACCTATTTTTTTTTTGCCTCAGTGTCTTGTAGTCAAAGTATCTTTACTTTTATAACATCATGTTAATTCTCTTTCCTCTAAAAAAAAAAATCACTAAAAAAGTAAAAATCCTCTAGCATTTCTTCACTTGATAATATCAGAAATTTGATTTTCACAACAATCCTGTGAAACAGACACTACAAGCATTATTTCATTTTACAAATAGGACAGTAAGAGAGAGAGGGTTTATACCCAGATCCATCTAAATGCACGTTGAAAACTTTCCACTAAGCCATGTTACCTTTCTGAACTATAGAACTAATCAAAAATTTCATCTTAAAAAATTCAGTTAAATTTTATTTTCCACCACAGATTTGAATCTATCTTAATGAAGCTCAAGTACAATGACACAGTAAAAAGACCAAAAAACTTAGAAGTCAAAATAACAAGGTTTGAATTCTGTTGTTGCTACTTACAACTTGTGTCTTCCTAGCCTCCCTGGGCTGCAGTTTCCTCATTTGTAGGGTTGTGGCCAGGAGTGGGAGTATTTAGATGATCTCCAGCATCCCTTCTAGATCTAAAATTTTTTTACCCCATCTCCCCCAAAAAACACAATAAAGCACACCTACAATAATGGTTATCTAGCCCTGAAAAAAAGCACCTGAGGATTTTTTCATCTTCTTAAATGGCGGCAATCCAATTTAACAAGCATTTATTAAGCACTTGGAAGGTACTATTAGGCTGTAGCAAGAGGAACTGAGTAAGGCAGATAGTCCATGGGACATTTCACCTGCTAAAATGATCTTGAAGTGAAAAGAAAAAGTGATTTTTCCATTGAAATTTTTAATACCTTTACTAGACTACATTTGCTTCACTTTTTTTTCTTTGAGAAAAATAAGAATAACATTAAAAAAATTATGATGTAATAGCTACCCACTAATTTCAGAAAGAATAAAGGCAAAGCAAAATACTTATTGTACCATTACTATTTCAGAAAATTCTAAAACAAAAAAAGTAACACTCTCTATCACCCAGGTCCCTCAGTATCTTGTAGGTGATAAACTGTAGGAAAAGCCAATGATTTGGGTGTATGTATGTAGTATATGTATGCTCCATGTTCTTTAAAACAGAGTTCATTGTTAATTTCCTAAAACTGAATACTGAACCATCTAAAAAGTAACAGCTGTGCCTATTATGTCATAAACACTAAAGTAATGAATTTCTTGGAAGAAAAGCTCCAAAGAGAACAAATCAGTAAATATATTTTAATGCCAAAATCTGAGTTTTAAGATTTTGTTTTTGTTCATTTATTTTAGAAAATAAAAAATACTGTCATTCTTCCCTTTGATTCCAAATACATCAAAACATAGTCGACTGCAAATATAATCAGTGTCTCAAAAAACTGAACAATGTTTAATTAAAATACATGAACTACCACTAATAAGAACTAAAGCATCATAGGATCAAAGAGTCAGAGCTACAGCAAACCTCAGAAGTCATCAAGTTCAGCCACCTCATATGACAAATGAGGAAACTGAGGCCCACAGAAATGAAGTACCTTGCCCAGCATTACACAACCAGCAAGTGTCTCTGGCAGGTCTTCCCGAGTAAAAGGCCAGCACTCCATCTGCTCTACTATGTGGCCTTTCTAGTAAGCTTCATGTAAACTGGAGGACACTTCCTTCAGGGGTGCAATTTTAAAATGTTCTTTTAGCAATACCACCAAGTTGTGTGAGTGCTTCTGGTCTATTTTAAAAACACTTTTAGTGAACTAACTGCAAAGAAAAACAGGTAGCTAGTTACTCATGACAAAGAGTGACTATCAGGTTATAAATTTCAGTCATTAGGCTTCTAGAGCCACAATTCAGTACCACAGTGACCTTCAGACCCAGAGAACTGTCAACGGGACTTTTACTCATGGCTTGAAGCCTGGAAGATGGCAACTCATTTCTAATAAATTACATGTGCTTGTTTATTCTGAAAATAATATTTATCCATATATAGATGTTTCAATACATTCTGACAGTTAAAGGCAACTCACAACTCCATCACACCTACTGAAGTGACCTTCTGAAGGTCATGCTAAAAAGGGAAATTGAGGGATTTGGTATCCCAAACAGTTATACATTTAAGATAACTAGGCACGTGACAGTCAAAGCTCCACCTTTTTAGAAACAGTTTCAGTATCTTTGCTGCTATTAAACTGGCCTTAGATTATTTTGAATGATAGAAGACATACTGAAAAGTATCAGCCTGAACCACAGGTAATTCTAGTTTATATATTCTATGTCAGTGGTTTTATAAAACCCTTTTCATGTATTTTCTTTCCTCCACCTACACTCCCTGACCTGCTCCTCTGAAATCATTGCCTGTAGTGGTTGCCCATAGTTGGATAAGAAATAATAGATTAGAATAGTCTAGAACAGAATAGAAACTAACAGATGTATAACACACCAATGAACATCATTATAGAGATAAGAATCTTCTAGAAATTTTCAGAAATTTATATATTTTAATTATACTGAAACATATTTATGATATTCAAGAAGGGGGAAAAGCCACTTTAAATTATATTCCTCTACATCAGTGGGTGTCAAACTCAAAGAGAAATGGGGATCACTAAATCATACATATGGATTCCTGCAGGTCATATATTGACTTTGAAAACTACATGTTAACATTATCTATGTTCAACTGTATTTTTATTCATTTTGTTAAATTTTTCCCAATTACATTTTAATCTCACGCAGGCCCACTAGTAAATGTCAGTTCTTTGCCATTCAATTTTTTTTTCCCATTTGCATATTACTTACTTTTCCAAGTTCTGTAAATGTTCTCTGACTTTCTGTACCAGTCCCAGCTTGGTATCATTTACCACAAAATCATCACAGCGATAACTGCAAAGAAAATATTCATCAACACATGTCAGAAAACCATAATAATGAAATCATTCAATGGTTTAGCTACCGCTAAGATGATCATATGTTTTTGTGGGTCCTTACTATGGGTGGTCAGTTTTAAGAACACAACTGGAATCTAATGGAATGTTTTATCAACACTAAATATACAACTGTCGTAGAGAGGTCCTTTTCACATTTTTCTACATATATAGATCATAGTTTTGTTACAAAGTCTGTACAATTCCTCTTTCTAAAACAAAGCACGGCATGTTTTTAGTTTTTTAATTCTCTTAATATAAAAAAATGTAGTAAAAAGCTCAAGTCCTATTTAAGTTACTTCAAACCTAAAGTTACCAAATGTGATTATATTGTATATAGCTTAAATCAAGGCACTGAGGGAGGAGTCTTTAAATGAACAGGGAAGGAACCACACATTTGAATAATCTCCAGTAAGGTTTAAATAGAAAAGTACAATTAAAACATGTACATAATTAAAATTTTTAAATAAATTATAATCAAAAAAATTAAGTTTACTTTATATGAGTTTCTGAGGTAAAAGAGGAATTATACCAATAAATAGGAATAATCATTCTCTTTGAAGTATTAACTCTTAGAAGAAATGTGCAAAATGTGTGGGAAAAATGGCTGTCACTACAAGAAACTGGTAACTACCTCAAGGGAAGGAAACATTTCTGCAAAGTCATCATATAAGCAGATAATGTGAGAAATCACATATACCAATTCCACTAATGCTGCAATCATGAACAAATTTTTGTCTTGGGACAAAGCCAATACGAACAAAAAAAGAATCAAAGTGATACCAAAATATTTTCCAGAGTATACAGGAATCACGTACAGTCAAACATTTATTATACCCACTGCCAAATAATGAGTAACACTGTCACTCTTAGCTGACAAGACTTTGGAAGCATTAGTTTTACAGAACTTTAACTACCTTTTAAGGTCAATAAAATTTATTTTAAACATCTATTGCAATGCACTGCACTAAGTGCTAGAGCCAAGTATAATGACACCTGCGACACGAAGCCTTCTCTAACTTCTTCCCTTCCTCTCCCCCTCATCAGTAATGACTATTTCAACCATACCCCTTTATTTGGACCTTTCTAATGCACTTACATCTTATTCTGCATCATAGTTATTTGTGTATATGTAATATTTGCTCTTAGATTGAAAATTCCACAAAGGTAGAATGAGATCATGTCTTATCTAAACTTTGTCTTTTCCAAGGTTGAACATAATGTTCTGCACCTGTAGGTGTTTAGTAAGTGTCAATGAATCCAAATGTATCCCATGTTCCTGAAACTGACCAAAATAAAAGGAGAAATACAATGGTGGGACAGGGATGGGAAATGGATCTGTGCTTTCACTGGTATAAGGAACTCCTAGGAAAGAAATCCCCTCTAGAATTTCAAGTTGACACTACTGGCAGAAATATCTAACACATCCACTAATTTATTAATAATCACTAAATATTTTCTTCTGAAATATGCAAGGAATAAGGTGAGGTGTTTTTGTTTTTTTTAAAAACTTCTGTGGTATGGGACTGTAGTCTCAATTCAACCTCTATGTTTATAAACAGCAACCTTGGGCAAGTTATTAAATACCTTAATTTCTAGACCTCTAAAATGGAAATATTTGCCCTTTTAAAATATTTTTATTGATAATTATGCTTAGATACAACTGATGCTATCCAACAACCTTTTAAAACCTTTTTAATATTTTCTTCAATTAAGAGAGTATTTTTCCCAATTACATATAAAAACAATTTTTAACATTTGTTTTTTAAATTTTGAATTCCAAATTCTTTCCCTCCCCTATACCCTGCCCCCTCCCTGAGACAGCAAGCAATTTTACATAAGTTACATATGTGTAATCATACAGAACTTATTTCCATATTATTTATGTTGTGAAAGAAAACACAGACCAAAAAAAAAAAACACCCCACAAAAAAAATGAAGTAAAAAATAGTATACTTCGATCTGCATTCAGACTCCATCAGTGCTTTTCTCTGGATGTGGATACCATTTTTCATTATGAGTCCTTTGGAATTGTCTTTGACCACTATATTGCTGAGAATAGTTAAGACTGAGTCATTCACAGTTGATCACTGCACAATATTGCTGTTACTATGTACAGTGTTGTCCTTCTACTGCTCACTTCACTTTACATCAGTTCACATAAGTCTTCCCAAGTTTGCCTGTCTCACAGGGAAAACAATCATTTTTCTTATTTTTTCCATACTGTTGGGTATATTGTATCATCTTAGGTTCACCCTGATGTGCATTTCTCTAACCACTAAAGAATTTGAGAACCTTTTTATGTGGTTATTAACAGTTTGAATTTTCTCCTCCAAATACAAGTAGTTCCTAATCCTTGAACACAATACTCGGGAGTATAGACTATACTTACAGATATGTATGAACTGTTGCTTAATTTTTATCAACACATTTTGTTTTGACACAACAGATGTTTCCTACAAACAATCACATAAATCTTCAAAGAACTCCCACCTAAGACAAATTATGTAAAACCTGTAACTGGATGATTAAGGCCAGGAGTACCTGTCATTCTCCAATATGTAGTGTGCTGACTAAAAAGGGCCATGTGCTTTAACTTTAATAATATAATACCAATATAGGCCCTTTCTGTTCTACCTGAGTTTTGTTGCTTTTTAGTATTGTGTTTCTTTACACCGCTGAAGTGACAGACAGCATGGTGGTGCCCTCAACAAAAACAAGCAAGTTCAGAAGGTGGGGACGTGTGGAATTTAAGATGCCTACTGGACTCCAGGTTGAAATATCCAATAAGCAGCTGGTGATCTGGTATTAGAATTCGGGAGACTAGGAATTAGTATAGAGATAGATGAATGAATAAACATTTATTAAGCACATAATCTGTGTCAAGTATTGTGTTAACTACTGTGGAAACAAATGCAAAAAGCAGGAACTTCCACGCCAACATACCTGTCTCCTTCAGAGGCAGACCATCACCCAGCTCCCACGTACCTATTCCAATAAAACTCTGAACTGAAGTTTACTTTAGACTAAATGACAATCAAGAAATCCCATGAGAAACTGCAGTAAAGTTACTTCTTCCAATCCAAAACTTCTCTAAGTCAGCCAGAAGCCCACAGACAATAGGAAAAGGAGGCCCCACCAACAAAGTCAACGGACAAGGCAAACTCCAAGCAAGACCAAAGAGACACGGGTGACCTAGAACACTCCATGTCCATATTGAACAAGGCAGAAGGACTCCCCTGACAAAGCCCAAGGATGGTCAGAAAGCCTGGAGATGGCGGGTGAGAGGTGGAGTGGTGATACAGCTTGGAAGGCTCAGAGATGGACAAATACTGAGCAGCACAACGCTGCAGTGCTGAGAACAATACACCACAAGTCCAAGAGCTCTGAGGACCTTAACACCATTTTTATAGGCCAAAAAAGTCCCTAAAAAGTTAATGTTTTGGAATAGCCAGGTGGCACAGTGGATAGAGCTCTGGCCTTGGAGTCAGGAGGACCTGAGTTCAAATCTAGCCTCAGATACTTGACACTTACTAGCTGTATGACCCTGGGCAAGTCACTTAACCCCAAATGCCTCACCAAAAAAGCACAAACAAAAAAAAATCTAGTGTTTTGCAAACCATAAGGGGGCACATAAAGGTTAGTTGTTATTGTATTCCTACTCTACTCCACCCTCCAACTAGACTATTTACCATCCCTTATATATGCCCAAAGCTTTGTTTCCTCTGTGCTTAAACTTCCACTAAAACCTGTTTTTCAATGTTAGTCCCATCTAACCCTGTGAAAGCCTAGTTATCTTAGATACCCATTGCTATCTACAGGAAAACTATTTTACAGCATTTGTCTTTACAATCCAAATGTGCAACTCTTCTATGTAGGCTTCACTCATACCCTCTGATGCGGAGTCCCTAACCTATTTCTGTTTTTTCAAGTCCAGTCTCACCTGCAGCAGACTGCCTTCACCACAACTACATCTCCTCCTTGGGATCCCATGTCATATTCCTGGGATATTTAGTCATGAGAGATGAATATTTCCAGTACTTTCTAGAAATTACTGAAAATGTCCATCCCTCATGACTGCAAAAAAAGAGAGCAGCATTTCCCTGGGTGCTTCTCTATTTGTAACATTAGAGATGGAGAAGCAATCAAATATGCCAAAGAAAGCCTGTCCCACTTTATGAAATCACAGCTTTTGCCTTTATCACTGAGCTGGCCTGGTGGGAAGATGAGGAATGAGGGAGAGCTAAGCAAGCCTTAGCCTTTTTACAGAACCATCATGGAAATTAAGGTCTAGTGTGTTCCTTAGTTATGTATTTCTTTTCTTCCCCAAATTGGAAGTGTTGGCTCACTGATTTAGTCGTATACTCTTGCTGCCTCTGTCCCAGGATGTCAATTCAACTGATTTAACTCCAAAATAGAGTAGTTTTGATAGAAAAATCTACTAAATTGGGTGCTGGGCAAGTAGCTGGTTTCTAGTCCCAGATCTGCTACTAGAAGCTGTATGAATAAATAAATCATGTCAATTCAACAAGCATTTATTAAGCACCTGCTATGTGCCAGGCTCTATGCTAGGGGCTGAAGATATGAAGGGAAAAAAATCAAACTGAGGGGCAGCTAGGTAGTGTAGTACATAGAGCTCTGGCCTTGGAGTCAGGAGGACCTGAGTTCAAATTGGGCCCCAGACACTAGAGCCTTACTACCTGTGTGATCCTGGGTAAATCACTTAACCCCGACTGCCTCAGCAAAAAATAAAAATAAAAATCTAACTGTTCTTGTCCTCAAAGAACTTACATTCTACTAGAGGGAAACAATATGTTCATAGATACATTCTCTATATAAATAGATAGATATAAAATAAATAGAAAGTAATTTTGGGAAGTAGAGAATACTAACTAGGAGAACCAGGAAAGGACTCTTGTGGCACTTAAACTATGCCTTGAAAGAAGTGAGAGATTCCAATAGGAGGTAATGAGGGGATATTCCAGGCATCAGGCTAGGCTGTGAACAGGAACAGAAGTGAGGGACAGAATGTCATGTATGGGGAACAGCAAGCAAACCAGTCTGGCTGGAACATATAGCACATAATGAAGAGTAACATGAAATCAATCTGGAAAAATAGAGGTATATTGTAAATGGCTTTAAATGGCAAACTAGAGGAAAAAGAGAGTCACTGAAGTTTCTGGAACAAAGGAATGACAGAATCTCTGAATTAGAAAGGACCTTAAAGACGACAGAGTCTGATCTGAACTTGGACAGTAAGATCCTCTATAACACCTGCAATAAGCAGTCATCCATCCAGGCTTGCTTAGAAGATCCACTGTCTCTCAGGGCATCCTACTCCAGTTCTGGCTCTCTACAATCATCACAGAATCTCTCCTTACAACAAGAGTTACTAGGCCTCTCTTTGACTTCCACCCACTGCTCCTCATTTAGCCCCTGGTACCAAGGACAAAGTCTGGCTCTTAGGTACAATGTGAATTAGACTGAGTCTCGGACTCTCATAAAAGCTTTAAAAATAAAAATATTTCTTTTTATGATAAAAAAGGTCCTTTTAAATAAATTTCAACTATATACCATGTTTACTAGCTGACTTTTTAAAAAGTTGAGGTGATTTTCTTTACACCTTTTTACAAGAAAACAAATAAACTATATATACAGTATATATAAGACAAATTATCTACAAGTAGACAGAATGCTATTATATATAAATCTGTTTACCATTTGTATGGTATAAGGATATATACAGAGAAAGCATACAGAATATGGGACAAGGTTTTTCTAAATCATCCCAAGATATGTTCAATTAGTGCCAAATTCTCATTTAAAACAGAGTAAACTTCTGGTGAATTTCCTGGCCCTTCTCCGCTTCAGGGAACATCTGAGAGACATGGCAGCCAGTAAACATGGTCTTTTGTGATTCTCCTGATTTCTATATATCACAGTCTGTAGAAGTTCTAGCTATCTCAAGCAGATGAAAGGGAATAATTTTTCCTGTTTTAAATTTTTATCCAGTGAAAATTTGTTTCATTAGAGGGGGGAGAAAGGTCTTATTCCCTTGTCAATTTGAAAAACTTAAGAAATGGAAGATATGTCTGACTTCAATGCTTGTCAATTCTGTCAGAACAGGAAACTTTCAAAATAGAGAAATTCCATGTTCTAAGTCATACACTGAGAAGTTAAAAAGATATTTCCAAACGATCCTTCTATTTATCAAAAAATAAGGAATGGGGCAGCTGGGTGGCGCAGTGGAGAGAGCACCAGCCCTTAAGTCAGGAGGACCTGAGTTCAAATCTGGCCTCTAGACCAAACATTTGACACTTAACTAGCTGTGTGACCCTGGGCAAGTCACTTAATCCCAACTGCCTAAAAAATAAAAAATTTTTTTTAAAATAAGGAATAATAATCACCCTTTACCTGAAATATTATCTATCAAATTCAGTTTGATCAGCTTTAGTCAGCAAGTTAGAATTGTATAGCACACCTCCAAAAAGAGGACAACTGTGGGCACTGATTCTTATAATCCACTGGCTTTATAACAGACTTGGAAATGTGAGTGTGGTAGGATAGGAAGGAAATGGTATTTGTTAGAGTGTAAATTGCCCAAATTAATTTAAGAGGATATTTTTAATGCCAGAAGAAGACAAAATGTCCTGTTTGTATTTTAGATGGCAGCATACAATGCTAACAAAACAAATTGTTACTTTAGGTTATTTCATATATAACAAAAAGAGAAAAGTTTAAAATTTCAAAGTAATATTTTTCAGGCAGCACAGGTCTTTAAAATTTAAAGAAGAATGTCCAGGCAACTAAAAAAATTAGGCATATACCTCGCTTTGGTGGGGGAGGGGGGCGTGGAGATGAACAGGACTATATCCCTTATTAAAGATGCCAAGAACTAGATTACTAGCTGAAAATAAAAGCTATTTATGTAATTTCACTGCCTGTGTTGCAAAGTGTACTTAAAAGAAACCCAAACAAACCAAAAATATTTACAAAGTATTGTTTTGGTTTTTAAATTAAAGAATTCTAGGCCTATATGGGTTTACCTGCTGCATGACTGAAAATGTAGGTCAGGAATAGGTAAATAAAAATTTAGTAAAGTTGTTTCTAAAATATTTTATTTCTTTAACCTTTTAAAATGGTTTCATAAAATAACTATTTGGAACCCCAACAACAACTTTATTCTTACTAAACTTAATAGAAGATGATCCCTTTACACAGATGTTGTTATAAACTCTAAAAAGGTGTTTAAATTTTTTTTAAAGGGATAGCCTTTGAAAACTCTCAATTTAAGGATTCTATAATTCTAAAAGGAATAAGTTTACTCACATCCCAAAATACTTCTCATTCTATGAAGAAAAGCCGACTGAACTTGGGGAGTCCAAAGACCTGACATTTCAGTGCCACATACTAAAGATAAGCAATACAAAAATTTAATGACTTGAAATTACACCCAGTAGTTGTAGACTGTTGAATATTACTTGCTGACCCTGGGCAAGTCACTTAACCCCATTGCCTAGCCAAAAAAAAAAAAAAGTATATGGGGCAACTAGGTGGCGCAGTGGATAGAGCACAGGCCCTGAAATCAAGAGGACCTGAGTTCAAATCTGGCCTCAGACCAAACACTTGACACTTACTAGCTGTGTGACCTTGGGCAAGTCATTTAACCCCAACTGCCCCCCAAAACCCCCCCCCAAAACCTAAAAACAAAACATTACTTGTGTTCTAAACCACCCGGCCAGAAGTAGATGGTCATTTAACTACGTGTGTTTTTGAAGAAACTGCTATATATTATATGAACAAAGCAAGTGTTTACTGTAAGCTCCCTGAGGGCAGAAAATGAGAGTATTTTTGTCTTAGCATCTTCAGGCATACAATAGGCACTTAATAAATGCTTGCCTGTTGACTGATGTGCAGATACATCTGTTACAGAGCCCCAAAACTTGGGGAGGTTATGTGACTTTTTATGTTCCCAAAGCTTTGAGAGCAGGAAGGAGGATCAAGGAACTAAATATATGCCAACAGTAAAGTTTGTGTGTATGTGCAGGGGTAGGAAGAGGTATGGGGGAGGACTGAAGAGAATAGAGTGAAATGTACCTTTCTAGCTACATATTCCTCAGCAAAAATACTAGAGAGAGCATGATTGTGGCAGCAGCTGGTTTAGTCCAGTAATCATGGATCCATATTTACTGGTTGAGAACCCTTGAGATTTTATATTTATACACAGACACATACATGTTATGTCAAAAAAACACTGACTTACCAGTATGTACTGTAACTACTGCAATCCATGCACACAGTATGTTGAATTTTCTCTTGCTTTTCTGTTTTCTTATGGTTGGTTAAGGGAATCTGTGCATCTTCATAATGTTTTTTTGCATGACCATTCACATACCTTAAAAAACATAGTAATGAGAATCCATTTTAATCTAAATATTCCCTTAAGAAGCTTAAGTATCTATCTCTAACAATAAAATTAGACCATACTAGTCAAAACATTATGATAAAGAGAAATAAATGAAGCTGCCCAAATATAAAATAAGTTCTATATATACTACATTTTGTATTTATTTATTACAAAAAAACCCCCAAAAAACCTCTTGATCATCTACAACATTAAGGACTATTTAATAAGGCATTACTTTTAAGATAATTTAACTAAATGCGACAGATATCAATCATCTTTTGACAATATTAGCACAATGACTGTTTACTATTATTCTGAATTTTGACTTCTAAATCCAAGACATATTGTTACTAGGAAAGACCCTTTAAAATGAAATAAGTTAATTACCTCACTAAGGAAAACACAGAACAAACAGCATTAAGGAAAAGAAGAGAGAAAAAGAACACGAGAAACAAACAAGGATGAAAGGAAGGAAGAAAGGGAGGAAAAAAGATACAAAGCCTAGGCTGATCTTATGTGCAAGACAATAATCAACATGAGCAACAGATTGTGAGAAACAGGGAGTAAATAAAAGCCAGAAGTGTAAGTAGGACAGCATTCCCACTCCTCCTGATGGCTATTTACAATGTGGTTTCAATTCTTTAATTTGAAGGTTGTGAATTCTCAGAAATACCTATATTCCAATGTATTTTTTAAAAAACATCACAAAACTAAATACAAATTATTTTAGGAAAAGTTTCAGTAATTTTAATGTCTCACATGAGTGAATACACAGCATAGTGTAATGGAAAAAGTGGCTGCTAGACTTGAAGGCAAGAAGGCATGGACTCTCATCCTGCCTCTGACATTTAATATCTGGGACCACAGGCAAGTCATAACTTCTCTGAGATTTTATTTTCCTCATCCCCACAATGAGAAAATACCTATAGTCACTATCTTACAATACTGTTTTGATGATCAAATGACAGGCTTTTTTATAAAATACTTGTAAACTTTGAAGTGCTACATTACAAATATAACTAGTATTAAGATAACCGAGCACTAATTATATTCATACGATATTTCAGTTCTTCAACATGAGTTTAATAGTTTTCAGTTTGTATAACTACTACATCAAATACATTAGAATGTACACAATTAAGAGCTATATATAAACAGACAATAATAAACGACTAAGTTCAATCATGATTTGATCTCAAAAAAAGGCACAATTTGAAAAAACAAAAAGTTCAATAAATTCAATAATTGACATCAGTGGAATTGTGGCAACCCTTACAAAATGAATTTCTTATGTCTAAAAACCAACCAGATTGTACAAAAATTAGACCTAGTTGAAAAGTGAAAAGCTGATACAAATGTTTATTCAATTTCACCAAAACCAAATTCCAGGGACACACATTTCATAATAAGGATACTTCTTTTATATAAATTACAAAAAATCAGGCACAGTTCTTACTCTGGAGATTCTGAAAACCCAACTCAACAGCCTGGCCACAAGGAGAGGGAAGGAGCAATTTCTTCCCCAATTTTCAACCATCAAGATTTCCAAGCCTGCCAGAGAAAAAAGGGAAGAAGCAGCTCCTCTCTTCATAGTGGAAAATATAAACAATATCTGAGGTTTAAAAGACCATCTGAGGGGCAGCTAGGTGGAGCAGTGGATAGAGCACTGGCCCTGGAGTCAGGAGGACTTGAGTTCAAATCCATACTCCAACCAAACACTTGACACTTACTAGCTGTGTGACCCTGGGCAAGTCACTTAACCCCAACTGCCTTAAAAAAAAAAAAAGACCATCTGAACATATAATTTCTTCTGTTCACATAACCTTAAAAATGCTTCAAACTATCTGCCTTCCCATGTATAATTCATTTACTTGGAATCTAAATGACATAAATGACCAGATGAACAGTCATTTTTTTTTCATTTTTCCTTTTTCAGGGGAGAAGGGGCAAGGGTACACACATATTCTACACTCTAAAATAGAGACTAATGATCATTACATAATTACTTAACATTCAAATTCATCTGTGATCTCATCAACTTAGGAGTTCCCTCCAAAAACCTGCAATGCAAATTGCAACCTATCTATGTCCACCCATCCTTTATGACTTTCATCCATGGCCTTCTAAAGGTTCACTAAAATCAAGTCCTCACCCCATGTGCTGAAAAGCTTCCTTGCTCACAGACATTATGAGACTGAGTATTCTTGCTGTCTACCTGTCATCCTTTGTCTCACCACATAACCAACTTTGTCTTCTCTTTCTGCCATCCAATTCTTGGATGACATTCATTCATCTATGTTTTTGTTCCATTACTCATTTGTAACATGCCATAGCCTGCTCACATCCACCAAGCACCTTTCCACCACTCTGTATGACACCTATCTTTAGTTCTTCAGAGGCAGGGTGTTTACAGGTCTTGCTCCCATATGGCAAAGATGAAAAAATGTTTTAACTAAAAACATGGGCCTTTGCTGTTACTGGAACCTTGAGGTCAGTAAAAATGTTTCGCAAAGTAATTCATCCCACTGTCCTCCTTCTATTTTATTGATTTCCCAGATGTACATACTATTGGACAATGTCTATAAGGTGTCTATTCAGATGTATGCTAAAATCTGGGCAACAGACATTCTTCATCCATTCTGTCTTTCCTGGGTGTAGAGACACAAGTCAAAATTCTTTCAATGAATGCAGATCTCTTCCAGAAAGCTTGGGGTTTGATGAAATTAACAACAGGCACAGCCAGAAGATCTCACCACCCACAGGGAGTCCCTCCCTCCTTGAGCTAAACTCTGAACTGGATATTATATATAACAGAAGCAAACATTTTTGGCAAGCATACATCTTGTTTTATGCCTCATCTGATGTTTATTATCTATCAGAGTCATTATATGGCATTATTTCTACTGTTAAATCTTCCATGGAATCTTAAATTATCTAGATACATAGAAGGAAGACAACTTGCTGTAAAAGATGGCTTGATCTCAAAAAAAAAAAAAAAGAGTGTAAGGAGGCATTTCAGTACTAATGTTTTGGTTTTTTTGGCTAGGCAATGGGGTTAAGTGACTTGCCCAGAGTCACACAGCTAGTAAGTGTTATGTGTCTGAGGCCACATTTGAACTCAGGTCCTCCTGAATCCAGGGCTGGTGCTCTATCCACTGCGCCACCTAGCTGCCCCTATAAGGAGGCATTTTTAAAATTCTACTTAGTCGAATTTTTTTTAATAATCAACAAACAATAAGAATGATGGGATCTTATATTCTCTACAATTCAATCAATTGTGAAATAAATATGTAACCTATTGTTGAATATCATTTTTAAAAGTCTGATTATTCACTACTAATACCTTCTTTAAGGATGTCCTAAATTCAAGGATAGATGAGACAGTAGGTATATAGGTTAGCAGCTGATGTTTTCTAGATCACTATTCTTAGAATCAATAAAGTCTGAGATTTTCTCCATGTTTTTGTTACTTCCCTTACTTGTAAATTGCTTTCAGAATTATATCATCTCCACCACTGATGTCCTCTCTATATACTCAATCTAATCCAACTACTTCTTTTTAGTGCCTTTTATACTTGCTCTGTAAATACGTTAGTCACTGTGACATTGGGGTTAAAATGCAATGGTTTAGCTATCCTTGCTGGAGAAAAGTTTGCTGTTATTTTTGAGATCCCACGTCCCCATTTGAAATAAAATATATTTTTAATTTTCTTCCCATTTTCATCCTTGCATGCTCTTAAAAAGACATTGCTTATTTATTTTGCAAAATTTTCTTTACACCAGTTTCATACCTCCATTAGTTCTCTGATTTGAGATGAAATTTCTCATAACTGTTTTTCATCCTTCTTTATAAAATTCTGTGGATGAGAGGATATTGTAATCTGAAGCTGCTTTGACAATCACCCCTACATTTGGCAGATCAAATGTTTACTGAATAATGCACTTGATGGGTTCTTTTGTTCTTTGGTTTAACTTTTGGATGAAATTATTTTAGTTGGTATCAGTGTCATTTCTGTTGTCCACTTCCTATATTTTATTTTCAAAAGCTTATTTAAATAATTCAAGGTTAAATCTTTTTATTCATATGCCATATTTTTTCTCATACTAGTCTATCACCTTATTATAAATTCTAATCTTAGATCTCAGCACACACAGCTGTCTCAGGGCAAATTCCTACACCCATAAAAAGTATTTTCTTTTCTGTTAAAATGTAGTCGATTTCATTCTTTGCGGTAATGTTTGACGTTCAATGTTCAGTGCCTACCGATTCTTTTTCCTTTTTCAATAAATTTATTATTTTAAATGTCTGTTTAAAAAAACTTTTTTGTGTTCTTAATTCTCTCCCTCCTTCCCCTCCCCTACTCATTGAGAAGGCAAGCAATGTGATATCAGTTATACATTTGAAATAGCCATGTTGCAAAACAAAACAAAACAACAACAACAACAAAACAGCAAGAAAAATAAAGAAAGCGAAAAATAATGCTTCAATCTGAACTCAAACTGCAATTCTCTCTCTGGAGGTAGACGGCATTCTTCATCATAAGTCCTTTGGAATTACCAAATCTTATTCTGAAGAGTGGTTCGTGGTAGATGCATGTAACCTCTGTATAATCTGTAAGTTTCTGCCTCTCTCATTTCTTCCCCTGAACCATACTTTCCCTTATATTTCTCCCAATACTTAACCCTTACCAACTTTGCATGGAAGTTGCTAAGTACCAGAGTGAAAGCTGATTTGATTTGGAGGGTCTAATTACATTGTTTGCAGAATTATTTTCCATTTCATCTTCAGCAATTGCTGATGGCGAATGAATTGGAATTAATTTCATATTTGTCTTTTTGCAAATACTAATCATTATTAAGGCAATACATAATGCTCATATGTTCCATGCAACAATATTTTTTGCTGCTTTGGCAATTCAATAAAACCCACTCCATCGAGTCATTTGTTTGACTTTCCAAGGAGTACCTGTGAGCTATCCTTTCTTCTGGTTTCATTTATAACAAGAAGGTAAAGATCAATATAATAATAGCCAATGATAATAGCTACTATTTAGATATCACTTCAAGATGATGTCTCATTCTATCCTCACAACAACCCTTGGAGGTAGGTCCTGTTACTATCCTAATTTTACAGAAGACAAAACTGAGGCAGACAGTGGTTAAGGGGCTTGACCAGGGTGACACAGCTGGCGTTTGAAGCTGGATTTCAATTCAGGTTTTTCCAAGTTTAGTGCCAATATCCTATACATTAAGCTACCTAGCTGTTCATATGATATATGATTCAGTTTCTCCAGCAGTATATGCGCACATTATCAGACAAAGAACTCATAGTTGGAGTACCAACGGTCAAACTGAAGCTTGTTGGCCAACTAAAAACTGTGATTCTTAGCACCCTATGCCTCATTTCCCATACTCTGTCACCAAGGAATAAGCAGAAAGGGGCCACACAGACTAAAAGCTATTTCAAATTTTTTTTCCTTGTTTCATGGACTGCCACGAAAGACAAAAAAATTTCATTAATCAGGTGGCTAGCCTATTGGCGATATACCTCTCTGTGTAACAAGATAGGCTGGTCCTCACAAAACAGACTTAAGTCTGTTCCTGGGATTATATTACAAAAATACTGGCATAAATAACCCAGAGACTCATTCCAGAAAGCAACTTCCAAAGCATTACAGAGCTGGTACTAGATTTGGCTCAATCTCTTATATTTAATTTATTTATTTATTACAGTAACATAATGAAAACTGATATTCACAATAATGGATCTTGGGCACTACAAGATGCTGAAGTTACCTCTTCAATCAAAAGAGGAAAATGTGTTCAGTGTGGCTTTATAAACATTTTTTATATTCTTATATCTGAAAACTGATTGTTCATTCATTTGTATATGTGTATATAGTTCAATTAAATAACATACCACATTCTCCAACTACTCTGAATATAAAGAAAGATACGTCAGTTAGTCAAAATAATGACTTAATATGAGCTTGATGGAAGCACCATTCTTGCTTCAACAACTAACTGTCAGTAAAGTCAGGTGAGTTCAAAATGATCAAATACATCTTTTATAACTTTTTTCCCCCAAATCACAGAATAAAGCACCTACTCCAATTTTTTCATTTACACATGCATAAATTGAGATCTAGAAAGGTAAACTGACTTGCTCAATACTACACACACACAAAAGTTACAGAGCTGGGAACTAAACCTGATCTTGGGAATCCAAATCCAATATTCTTTCCACTATACCATGCTACCCTAACCCGTTGTTTCAATTCTTAATAACTTTTTACCTTGAACCATAGCATGAAGCCAGATTCCTTTCTATATAATAAGCTCAATAACTAAAAAACCCTCAATACTTATTCTCCCATTAAATCAATAAATGTTATTTCTTATGTATAAGATCACACAAATACATTAACTAAAATCTGCTAATGATTCCCAGTTGAAAGCATGTTCTAAGTCTACTGTTCTTTATACTGTATTAGCTTAATGAAAACTCTTTATTCTTTAACAACTTATAAGCATGAGAAGTACAGTATATGAGTTTGTATGATGAAAGACAACGAACCAATCAGTTGTTTAAAATGACAGTTGTGAATAGTATTTTACAATTATGGAAAAATCTTATTAGTTTAATTAATCAAGCTTCTTTCAATAATGTAGAGTTTTTAAATTGTTAAACTGTGCATAAACTGAAGGAGCCCACCTGCAGAGACCAGAAGTTTTCAAATTTATTCTTCCATATCTTACTTATGGAATGTGTTGCCACTTGCTTTAAGAACTTTAATCTCTCCGATTTGGGATCCAAATGGGGCTTGTCTGGCTTTTCACTAGAATATGAATTCCATGATTCAAGATTTTAAGTTGTTGAGCACTGTGAGACAACTGGTGAACAGAACTATATAAATTTTACAGTATTATAATTCTCACCTCTCAAAATCTAGGAAAGAGAGGAATCTGTCTCTTCAAGTGCAGAATTTAAATGCTTCTACTTTTCTTCTTTTTTGTATTAAATGTTATCTGTACAAAGTATTTGCAGATTTCCCAAATCCTAGATTTCAAAACCACAACAGCCAGTTAAGAGATGCATTAATATTTTCAAATGTACTCCAAATGTACATTTTAAAAATGTTTATTTCCAGGATGACATTCTTAAAAGCAAAAACAAACTCAACAAAACTACTGCTTGTGTATTATAAGGATTTTATGACAACAGCAAGCCTATTACTAACAGTGTAAGATTATGATTTCTCATCTCCTGAAGCAATTAACTTCTCAAATAAATTTAAAACTGATTTTCTAAGCTATAACATTATACACAAAAATAGCAGTACCACATTGTTACAATACTAGAGGAAAAAAATAGCACTGAATAGAGTCTGATAGGGAAAATGCTATTTAAGTAGTTGCCATGTTTATAGCTGGAATTTGAGGTCAAAAAATATTTGAGAAATCCAGGGAGAATGGCTATAATTAGTGCTTAAAATTTTTTAAACTGAACCAACTGGAAACAATTATCTATATAGCAATATTTAAGTAATCTCTGATAAGGATTCATTATGTACTTCATAGTTAAGTTATTATAATTTAATAAGAATATGTATGTAAATATTTTGTAAATCTAAAAGTACCATCTATAAAAATGTCCACCATGATTATTACCAGATTTTTGCCTGCAATGACTAATATAAAGCAATTTTAGACATTTAAATTTCTCAATCTTTTTTCTACTTTTCCACAATAAGATATTAAGGATCTAAAGCAAAAATATATGTTAAGATCTTCAAAAATATAAAAATACTATCTTAATGTCCACTATGATTATTACTAGATTGTTTCTTCAGATGACTTAAGATGACTTAAAGCAATTTCAAACATTCAAATTTCTCCCTCTTTTTTTTCTAGTTTTTTTTTAAATAAAATACTGCTAATTTGCCTTTATGATCAAAGAATATCTTAGAATGAAGCCATATATTCCCTTACCTAGATTTTCCCACTTACAATAGTGAGGAAAAAATTATTCTGGGAAAAAAATCTGAAGGTTATTATACATTGAGATTAAACTGTACAAAATAGCACAATACAAATAAAATCTTGTCAAAAAGGAGAAAACATAGTTAGCTACTAACAGTTTAGTACTTACCTTCCACAATGAACACTCGAACAAGTCAAACAGACCCAGGGGCTTTTGTTGGACCGGCATACTATTAAAAGACAAAAAAGAAAAACATACAAATATACCAACTGAAACATGTATTTTTCAAATTCCTACCTTATTCATAAAAGCATATTCTATGACTGTGGGCAGCTAGATGGTGCAGTGGACAGAGTAACGGTCCTGCAGTCAGGAGGACCTAAGCTCAAATCCAGTCTGAGACACTTAGCCATGCGACCCTGGGCAAGTTACTTAACCCTGTTTGCCTCAGTTCCTCATCTATAAAATGAACTGGAGAAAGGAATAGCAAACCACTCCAGTATCTTTGCCATAAAAACCCCCAACGGAGACACAAAGAGTTGGACACAAGTGACTGACTAAACAACAAATTCTACAATTGAATTATAAATACAGAAGCTGTTCAGGTAAACTGAAATTTCAAATGGCCACTTAATTTTACAGTAACATAAAATGGTCACTTAAAGTATGCTGAAAGGCAAGTTCATTTCAGCTACTGAGTCAACTCAAAAAGTTTAATTAACATGGTTATAAGTTTATATATTTTGATCCCTTATTAGCTCATTCAATTCTTTCTTGCAGTGGAGCTAAGGACACAATCATAAACAGTGATTTTGAGTTAGAGGATCCAAGTTTGAATCTGACTTCAGTGTGATCTCGGTCAAGCCAGTAGACAGCACAGAGGCTCATTTCCTTATATGTAAAATTAGGGGGTGGGATTCTAACATCAGCTTTAAATCCTATTATCCTAACTCACTATTATTCTACGTGTGTCCCCTCCCTTAGAATCATTTCACTTGCAGGAAGGGGGGAGGTGTAACGGGGGGGGGGGGGAAGGAATTTAGAGGTAGAGGGGTAAGAAAAGGGTTGAAAATTTCTGTCATCTGACTACCAAATACTATTTTCAAAGGTTATTTAAAGACTACTCCACAATGACACAAGCTTTATAGGCACGCAATTAAAGCACAATGCTAAAGAGTATTCCAACTTATTTATCTTTTGAACTGTACACCCCAAAAAAAGCCATGTGAAATTTTAGATTATATAACTGCACTGCACACAAATTTTGCTAAGAACATGATCAGAGTTAACATAATCATGGTTTTAGTGCAAGGCAGAGTGAGAAAATGGTTCTGGAAGTATGTGAAGATTTTTTTCCCTCAGCATTCAATTGCTCATTTTAAAAATACCTTAACCTACAGAGGTAGCTGCAGGTGGTGCAGTAGATAGAGAACTGGGCCTGGAGTCAGGAAGACCTGAGTTCAAATATGACCTCAGACACCAGCTGTGTGACCCTGGGCAAGTCACTTAACCTGTTTGCCTCAGGTCCCTCAGCTGTAAAATGAGGATAATAATAGCACCTACCTCCCAGGGTTGTTGTGAGGATCAAATGTGATAATATTTGTAAAGTGCTTAGCAGTGTCTGGCACATACTAAGTGCTTAATAGAGGCTGACTTCCCTCCTACTTTCTAGAGGGATGCTTCCAGACCAAGGATGAAGGCTAAATACCACAAAATGAGATTCTTCTTTAAACAAGATTGGCCAAGATCCACCCTAGTCTAGTTCTGCCTGTGACTAGAAAGTCTTCTAGCACTTCTGTTTGTTCATTCTCACAGGAACACATGCACAGATTGAAACAACCTTCACATACTTATTTTTAATTGTTATTTTCTACCTTGCCTGCAGAAATATCTAGATTTCCTCAACACATACTAGAGTAATAACATTTGAGAAGACAATGTTGCCAAAGTCACTACAAAAAATAAATGAAAACTGAGAGGATGCCCATCAATTTCAGAATATCTAAACAAATAAGGGTATGTGAATATAATGGACTATTATTATATTGTAAGAAATAATGAGAGGAGGAGTTCAGATAAATCCAAGAGGACTTCTGAACTAATGTAGAGTACAGTGAGCAGAACCAGAAGAACCATTTATACAATGATTACCATACTATAAGGTAAAACAAGCTCTGACGAATATAATGAACAACCATGCATGACTCTATGAAACTTGCTTTCTACCTCTTGAAAGAGAGGCGATGGACTAGAGAATAAGACATACGTGTTTAGACAGATTTCATGTGTGAATCTGCTTTGCTTGAGCTAACCTTATTATTGTGGGGAGGATGGAGAGAAACGACAGCAAGAATGATACCAAAAAAAGAAAAGAATGTAAATGAAACATTCAAGAAACGCAGACTTCCAGCCAAGATGGCCTCACAATTAGAAGGAAGACTGACCAGTTCTTACCTATCTATTCCAATGGAACCTTAAATTTTTCACCAGACCACAGTACAAAAGGTCAGCCAGAAGCCTGAAGGCAATTGAGGTAAAAGGGGACTGAGAGAAAAGCAAGCACCAAAGCAAGTGTAACCGGAGCCTGGCCAGAGACACCCGAAGGCTGCAAGACACTGTAGACACCGTGTCCAGAATCAGTGAGAGCAGAGTGCCCTCCCAAGAAAGCCTCAACGTGGGGACCTTCAAAGTTTAAGGAAATAAGCAACAGAAGCAATGGCAGCAGCAGGGACCAATGTGCTACCTAAGGGCTCAGAAGGAATTCTAGACTTAGGGGTTCTGAAGTCCTTAACACTTGGTTCTGAGATGCCAGAGAGGGCCTTAAAAGAACTAACACTCTGAACCTCAAAAATCCAGAAGGGCCTAACCCGAGGAGATACAGAGCCACAGAAGGCAGTGGAGTCCATTCCTAGCATAAAGCCCCAATTCACAAAGAAAACTGGAGAGATCAGTAAATTAAAGAAAGCATTATGACAAAAATATTCCCAAATTAAAGAGTCCCCCAAAGAAGGAGGGGGTAAAAATGCAACTATCACAGAGATTCAAAGGAAAAACTGGATTTTCCACAAAAACTATATGAATACCTAAAGAAAGGAAGCAAGAGATGTTTAAAATGACATAGAAGCTCTGGAGGAAAGAATTAGGAGAATAAATAGCTTAGAAGAAAAAGTGGCAAATCTCATCCAAGTAACAGACTCCTTAAAAATCAAAAAAGACTTAACATGAATCTGTGGTTCCAGAAGACTAGAAGAAATATTAGAATAAAATCAAAAGACTGAAAAATAAGAAACTATCTGATATAAAAAACAACTCACCTGAAAAACAGGTCCAGGAGAGATAACTTAAGAATCACTGGACTCCATGAAAACCATGATTTTTTTTTAAAGCCTGAATACAATATTTCAAAACATCATAAATGAAAACTGTCCAGATCTATTAGAATCAGAGGGTAAAGTGAATAGAAAGATCCACCAATCACTTCCAAAGAGAAGTTCCAGAAATGTCACAGACAAAACCCAGAGTTCCCACACCAAAGGAAAAAAATACAACAAACTAAAAAAGAAAAGGAAAGGAAAGGAAAGAAAAAAAAGAGTGCAAATAACAAGCATAGTTTTGGATAACAAAAATATCTGGCAAGTTCTACTGTAAATTAAGAAATCTTGGAATACACTATTCCAAATGAGACATGTTTAAAACCAAGAATAAATCTCCCATGCAAAAATTAACTACAATCTTATAAAAAAGTGGACCTTGAATGGAATAAAAAAGCTTTTCAAATGTTTCTAATAAAAATACAGGAGCCGAGCTGGAATTTTAAAATGCAAGCACAAGAATCCTGAGAAACCTAGGAAGGTGAATTTATGTGAGCAATTAAAAGGAACTGTGTGATGATGTAGTGCTAACATTCTACTGGGAGAGAAGAAATGTGTCCCTTCAGAACCCTAATGTCTTCAAAAGTTATTGAGGGAAGAAAAACAAGAGGCTAGGAGTATGGAATGGTTCTATTTTGAGGCTTGGTGAAAAGAGAATAGAAAACAAAAGGAATACAGTAGTGTTGAAAGGAGGAAGGAAAGAAAATAATTTGCTATTTCTCATAATTAGAGAGCACAAGAATACATGAACATGGAAGATGGGAGGAGTGATAAGGCAACTCACTACCATGAATGTGAAGGGCAGTTGAATGAACAGGAACACATGCACATACACAAGTTGGTGCAGAAATATGTCAAACTCAACAAGGAAACAATCAGAGATATGGGAGGCTAAAAGGGAGTAATAATAGTTACAAGGAAAACAAACTTCCTGATCCTGAAGGAGGGATTAAGAAGGAGAAAAAAAAGAACTAGAATCTAAAAAGGTGGGAGAAGTGTTGCCTCTTACACAAACTGGGGAATGGCTGGGCAAATCTTGATATATGAATGTAGTGAAACATTACTGGGTTAACAGAAAACAGCAAAAGATGACTTCTGAGAATCTTGGATAGCATGATCTGACATAGAATAAAGTGAGCATAACCATGTGAACAAGTCAGCAACACTGTAAAGAAAAACAACTTCAAAAGACTGAAGAATTTTTATTAATGTAAATAACTAACCCAAGTCTCCCGGGAACCTATGATGAGTCATGTTACCCATTTCCTGAGAAGTAACGGACACAAGGTACAGAAACAGAAATATATTTTTGGACATGGCCACCAAGTTGATTCATGATGCATATTTCTTACAAGGGTTTCCCGTCCCCCCCCTCCTCCCTCTCTTAGTTTTTTGAAGTGGGTGCTTTTAGGAGGAATGCAGTTAGCAGTAAGAAAGGCAAGGAAAAAAAAAGAGGATTATTGAAATTCTTTTTTTAAATGCACAGAAGAGAGCAGAAGAACAGAAGGAAGTTGAAAAAGAAGCAAAGACTAGCAGGATGGTTTTGAAAGTAACGTGTAAGATTTATTATATAACTATATATTTTAAAGCAAGCAACATGAAATGGATATCCACAGTTTCATAAAGAATCCTCTTTCAGTGTTCTATATGTATGGAAATGTTCTTTTTTGTTGTTTTTAAGTCTAAAAAGAAAAACGACAACAAACCACCCACTAAACAAAAAAAAAAATCGAGACTGTCCCTACTCTCAAGGAGCTTTCTTTCTAATACAGGATACACACCCATAGGGAAACAGTGGCCAGGGAAGGCCATTTTTGTCTAAGAAGTCACAAAGATGGTAATAATCATACTCTGTGTA